AAAGACGTTTGGCTAATACACAGCATTTTGTCTCAGTTGCTGAAATGTCTTGGCCATATCAAGTGCCACGTCGGCTGGGAAAAAAAAACACACAGCAGAAGGTATGGTTCCAGAAAGGAAGGGGGTAAGGGGGGGGGCCAGACAGCCAGCCAGCCCGAAGATGAGCACAGGATATAAGTGACTCCTTGGGTATGAAAGTACACGAAAGCTGACAAGAGACCGAATTTTTTTTTTAAGGTAGACAGTTATATAAGCGACCCTCTGCTACATGATGATGATGATAATAATGATGATCAGTCAGGTCGTTGTAGGGGCGACGCTGGTGTATGTAATATCCTAAGTGCCTTCCCCAGGTAATAGTGAGGATTTACTGCTGGGGTGACCGTTAATAAACCCTCACATAGCCTAATGCTTCAGGTCAAAAAAGACGCTAGGCACGGCCACTTTTTTTTTTTAGCCGTGGCAAATTTTTGTGCTTCTGCCAGACGGTGGCCGTTGCATTTTTGCTTCATTTGAAGACTGGAAGGATATAATTTCGTTGCCCAGCTTCTGAGTTGAGTGCATGGCGTGACACTGTGGGCTGCAGATTTCATTTGAACTGTGATAAACATTTTGTGAGTTTTTCGTTGACATGGGGTGATCCGTTTGCTATAAAGCTGAAACTAAGCGTAAGGTTACAGGATTACCAGATTACCAGAATAATGATGATGAACAGTTAGTTCTACTGTCACCTCGTTTTTTGATAAATGATTACTCCCAAACTTCCTGTCAATGGTTATCTCCCCGTTGACAACTAAATTGTGTACGCTTCATCGAGTTATTTTATGTTAGTTAACGTAACAGTTGTTGTTTTATTCCCGGAACTTGTTAAATAATAAAACACTGTCTAAGTAAGTTTAATGTACATTATAATACGTCAACTTGTTCTGATGCATATAAAAAATTATCAGATTCTTTAATTTTATTTTAATAAATTTATCTTGTTATCGAAGGTAGCGTAACGCCGTAATTTGCCGTAAAGTAAAGTAACAAAACCCAGGACACTACTTAGACAGTTAGACACGGACTTCAGTGAGCTGAGTCGGTTTAAAATGAAATGAAATTGTTATTTAATTATTACTTTCGTTCATTAGTAATTAATTAGGTGATAATAACCTGGATACAGAACTTGGTTGACTGGACAGGCTTTAGGTACGCAGTCATGATCTGTGTTACATCTGACTGACCGTCAATGGTGGAGGGAGCTCACCTATCTGACAGTACAGTCTACCTCAAATCAAACTGGTGACCCAACGACACGCACTGTTACAGGATGATGATGATGACTAGTTAATTTATTTCCTAAACCTTCTCTTCTAAAAATGCTACTGTCCTTACCCACTAAGGGCTGCAGGTTACACCAGGCTGCTCTAACCATTCCAGGTGTCACAATTCTTTAACGTTTATTGAGGTTGGTCTGCCGTCCATAGGGAGATTTTGTTTGTATTAAAAACAAAATCTCACTCTTGGGTTATGACCTTCAGATAACATTTTGCAATATTAGAGTCCAGGTTGCAGTGTGGAGGGGGAACACCCAGCAGACAGACTGATGTTACTGAAACATAGAAAAATAAGACCTACAGACACACAGAGAATTGAACTCGAGAGTGAAGGTAAAAAAGATGGGGAGAGCTGCTTGTGGTAGCGAAGGATAGAACAACTTGGCGTGAGCTGGTTGAGGGGCTATGTTCCACTGGGGGTTTAAAAGGCAGAAGAATGACGTTTCTGTAATGTTTTTAAATGTTCTTCTTCCTTACTTTCTCTTTTACCACTACAGGTGTCGAGGGAGATATAAGGTCCTGCTTCGTGCTCTTCTGGCTGCTTCGACCATAGACACATTGTGGTACTGTAGAGTTTCTCTGATGTTATCTTTCCATTATGTTCTTGGTCTACCTCTTGCTTTGTTGTGAGTGAGGTCTGGGACTGGTAGCATAAGGTGGGAATGAATATACTTTGTATGAGATGTTTGACCTCTGTACTAAATGTTCCATGATGTTGTTCTATGGCACCAAATTCATTAGGAAGGAGAATATCAAATGGTGTGGTCAGAATGCAGCATCGACAGCTACCAGTGCAGCTGCTACATCTAAAACATTGGTCTCCAACGTTTTTAAGGTCGGGCCCACAAAATACTCCCCCCCCCCCCCCCGCCCCTTCTGTCCCCCCCCTTTTTTTTGCAAGACCTCCATGCCTCCATTAAGCAAATGGCAAAACACCTCAACCCCCCCCTCCCCCCCACCACCACCACCACCACCACTCCCCCCCATCTAACAAAATATGATTAAAAAGAGTATGATGTTTTGATCAGAATGTGTTAATCTATAATTAAATGCATGTTTTAACATAATAATTCAATTTTTAACAATAGATAAACAAACTGCAAATGAAAACAAAAATGTCCTTGTCGTTGTGTTGATTAAATAGGTTAAGAAAATATTTTATATATAAACTAAAACAAAATATAAGTATAACGGATTATTACAAGTAGTACAGACAAGAGCTGCAGGAGTTTCAAGGAAAGACAGAATACGCAATCATGAAATCAGACGAATGCTAGGAAAAGCCAGTCTTACAGGTCATCAAAGAACAACAAATGAAGTGGTTTGGACACCTAACAAGAATGCCCTGGTACTATCCGCCACAGCGAGCCACACTAAAATGTTACGAGTATAGAGCGAGTGGAAGACCTCGGAAAAGATGGAGTGATGTCATTAAGAACAGCCTTACAGAAATGAACATCAGTCTTAATAGTGCTCTTGACAGAGCCCATCAACGAACATTACATCTCCCCCCGACACTTCGATGAGGTACAAGGTGGAAGAGAAGAAGAAGAAGAAGTACAGATACAGTCGTTTTCAAAATTGCACGATGCCCCCCTTGTCCCCTCTCCGCCCAATCCATGTGGTCCTACCTGCCAGTTTGGAAACCACTTGTCTGAAAAGATCTAATGTGAAGGCAAGATGATGCCAAGAAAGAAGATAGATTGATGATATTAAAGACATCATACATCCACATGGAATCACAGTGCCCATTGCTACCATCGAGTACTGGACTGCAGTCTTTTTCTCCTCATGATGAGGGGGCTGCATGGTCTCGGGGCATAGTGTCCACCTTGAGTGTTAGAGGTCCTGGGGTTCAGGCCCCGGTGGAGGCTACAATTTTTTCAAGTGGACTTCTAGTCATTTCCCCTGGTCTCTGGGTAGTGAGATTGGACGCCCGTGTGTATTGTTGTGCACCTAAAAAAAAAAACAACCTTGGCAGTTGGAAATTGAAAGAGTAACCCGGCACTCCCTGGGCAAAATTTGGAGTTAAAAATCTACCCAAAATATTTCATGATCCTCGCTGGTGTTACGGAGCCTGTGCACTGCGCTGAGCTACTTGGGACTCAGACTTGAGTTAGAAGTAGAACCGAGCACTTATGGGATACTACTTTTGTGCCATGATGTTGATCCGTTGTTTAAAATTCAAACCTTCTCATGATGTTAGTAACAGAAGTGGAAGTTGATGATAATACATTTAGTAATTGGCTCATTCAGTACATACTAGTTATAAATAAGATTTGAATAAGAATTCTTACTGCTTTTTTGTGTTATATTCTGTATGTTCTATTGGAATTCCTAGCATTACATAAATAGACACTTTTGAGCTGAAATGCTATAAAAAGATTCTCAAAATACCATGGACCAAGAATCAAAAAGATGTTGACATCCTAAAGGATCTGAACATCAAGGGAAATTGGCTCATAAACAGCATCATATCTTAAAAACTTCTTCTTCTTCTTTCGTTTGCTTGAAATAAATGATCTATATCTGCAATATTGTCTCTAGTATGAACTTCACTGTCTTTTGTAATTCACTCAGTGACCCATAGAATTTGATTTGCACCGATGTTTCTTTTGGCCAAAAGTTTTGCTTCCTATAGCGTTTGTGCATGGCATCCTGATTTTTACGGTGCGCCTCCTGGCTGGTTGCCTCTTTCTTCAGCGCCTAATTTTTCTTTAAAACTGAAATATTTTGGCTGTATCAAGTGCCCCGGTGGATTGGAAAGAACATCAGCAGAGGGCTTTGTGCCAGGAAAGAGTGGCAGGAGTGAGCAATACGAAGATGGGCAAAGGTTAAAAGTGACCAGCTGGGTAGGAAAGTGCACCAGGTGTTAGAGCTGGTTAGAGTCTCAGGCTGGCTGTGGTGAGAGTGACGTTCTGTATAGGAACTGCTGCGTAATGATGGCCATGGCCATTGAGTTAACCGTTTGTGTCAATTCTTCAGCACCAAAAAAAAAAAAATGATTGACACATTCAGTTTCTAGGCAATAAAAGAATCTGCTGCCTGTGATTGTGGAGCAGAAAGACAGACCCCTGAGCACTGCCCTAACTTCTCCCAGCAAAGACTGGGTCTGGCCCAAGGGAGCTACGTTGCAAGAGAAGCTATAGGGGAACGGTGGCAACCTTAAACGCACAATTCTATTTATGACCCATAGAGGACTCAATGTTTAGCATGACTGATGTCGAATGCAGAAGAAGAAGTTTCTGGGTAGCCTTTATTGAGATTTCTCTGTACCCAGTTTGCGGTTCCCCAGTCTACCCTATAGTGGACAGGCACCATGCAAACCTTGCAAGAACAGCATGCTCAAGGCGACAAAAACGAATGGTCACCAGCCCGCTTCTACATAGCACAACTACAGTACATGCTGCCCCCACAAAAATACAATTTGTTATGCATTGGAAACACACACAAAATAACAGCCTTTGACAAAGGAACAGAATAATCTGAGATAAAATCACAACCAGTGAAAAATAACACAACTGATAGTTACCATATTGAAAACTCAAGTCTGGATATGATGATGCATGCTACACATACACATATATGTATGTATATATTTTTTGTTTTGTTTAACCATTTAAATCTTCTTGCTTGTCAACAGCTGTCAAGATCGGCTAACATCAAACATCTTCTGCAACAATGAGTGATGATTCTGATGATGATGTTCCTGATTTAGTCCCAGCTGTCACCGCTAAAGTTCCTGTCACCATCATTACTGGATTTTTAGGTATTTTAAAAACTTTAAGCCATAATTTGATGCTCCTAGATACAATCCCCACATTCCCCTAGTGGATTCCGAGACTCCATTTTTGGAGAGAAAGAATATACTCACTGCTTCCTTAACAAGCCAAGCATGTCGTAACAGTTGAAATAAGCCAGTAAAACGAATGTACACACAAAACTCAGGCCCTGGCACAAAGCCAAAGTCCTAATGGACGAACATTTTGCAGCTGTTGTACACAGAAGAAGAAGAAGAGTACTAATTAGGGATTTTCCTTCGAATTCATCGTGCATCTGTATGAGAGGCGAGGAATTAGCAGCCTGCATAATATGAATTAGATCTGTAAAACGGCTGTTTATACAAAGCTCAAGTTCTGGATCAAGACTTTTAAGTCCAGAAGTGGAAAAAAAACAACCAGAATTTTCCACCAGAGTTTTGGGACTGAACCTCGAGAGACAGGGGGTAAGAAGTGTTGGTGTTGTAGGTATGGGTTTTCCCCTCTTACTTCACCCTAGGTCTAGTGAATATCTGTTCACGAAAGGAGCGTCCATTGCAGTGTCAGCCTCTTGACCTAGCAAAACCTCTCTTACCTCAAGACCATTGTGCGTGGCGAAGGGTCACAGCCTCCCCGAGGTAGTCCTGGTACTGGGGGTGCGAATCCCCAGGCAAAACACAATAGATCTAGAGGAGCAAACCTCGATAATAAACCAGGTGCACCACACTGTACTGCCCCTTGTGGGAGGCAAGGAACCGGAGGTGTGCTGAACAGTCTTAGGAATGGAAACAAGTATGCTAACCCCCCTGAATACCGGAAACTATCGTGAAGGCACAGGGACTCAGGACGTGACGATCCAGTTGCCCCAACTACTCATGCTTAGGCCATGCTTAGAGCCACGAAGAGCTCAGCGAAACCAGCAGGCAATCTTGTGGCGGGGAATGAGCACACTGTGAGCCCCACCTTAGCTACGTGTTAAAGGGGAAGGCAGAAACGCAACCCATATTTCCTTCAGAACTGGTACAGAACATTTCTAGCTGCTGCCCGGGTAGGTAGGTAATCCACAGACACCCCAGCACCACAATGCCATGAATATGTCCACCAGAGTTTACAGCTGGTAAATGCGAAGAAGAAGAAGAATGTATAAGTTAAAAACTAAGCCATAGTTTAATGCTCTTAGACACAGTTTTCTTAGCTGTACATTATAAACTGGAAACCATGATAGCACAGTCAGCTGTGTACATAGAGGAGTTGAATGGCTACGGACCATGAAGCAGAACAAGAATGACTTGATGTGAGTTGGTTGATGGCCTATGCTCCACTGGGGGATAAAGTGAAGAGGAAGAAGTAAAGGTGGTTGTAAAGATGTTCACCTCATCACCCACTCAATGCCTACTGGTGTATAAATATGAAGCTGGCACTTCATGTCCAGTTTGCTTTTAGTCATGAAAAAAGTTCCTTCAGTTACACACAGTGTGAGTGGAGTAGATTTGAGTCAAGAATTGACATCACAGCGCTCAGGGCATTCCTATGCATGCTCTGTCCTCATCTTCAGCAGCCAGCACAGAGTTTCAATACTGATGGTACCGGTCACAATCTGGTAAATTACTGTGAATGAGTGCTTAATAGGAACATGAACATTTTCAAAAGAAATAATTTAATTTGGACAGTGAGAATTTATGGCAATTCTTACTGTCCATAAGTGTTGGAAATATGCTGCTAATTGAGCCTTTCTCAGCATGAGGTCAGTTATAAGCCAGTGCTTTATTAGGGATTAAAAGCAGAAAAAGAAGAAGAAGGCTATAAAGTTTACCTTCATATATTTTGTACCACATCACCATGAATTTGGTTTACGAGCTTGTCCCCTGGCTGCCATCTACCTATTTAATGACTTTATCTCCCTTGGTGGGTTCCAGAGCCCCAGTGTGGGGACAAAAAATAATGAACCCAATCTTAAGCATTTCATAAAGGCATATATTTATTCATTATTTCCTATGAATTTGGGAACTCATATGCCTGAGAGGCAGGGAACCACTAGTTGACATACAGATAGATTTTAAAATGGATATGTATGCAGAATTCAAGTTCTGGAACAGAACTAAAGTTCAGAAGTGTACGAATAGCCAGAACTTTCCGCTAGAGTTTACAGCCAATGTGTCAGTAAGGAAGTGTATCAGACACTTAAACCGTGGCTCCATCTATTTTGGAAACAGATTCAAATGTATTGTTGATTTCATGTTAAAAATTTTTTTTTTTTTTAATGAATTCTTGCAGGAGCTGGGAAGACCACCCTTTTGAATTACATTCTTAACGAGCAGCATGGAAAGAGAATTGCTGTGATACTTAATGAGTTTGGTGAAGGTTTGTTACAGAGGTTTACATTTTTACTTCTTCTTCTTCTTCAGCATTCCGAGCCCTTGAGGTTAATTGCTGCAGATATCACCCGCCTTCATTCATCTCTCTGGTTGGCTTTCTCTTTCCAGTTGGTTACACCAAGTGTTTGCAGGTCTGTCTAGATGTTATCTTTCCATCGTCTTATTGGTCTATCTGTCATCTGACATTCTTTCAATATGCCCCAACCATTTCAGTCTATTAGCTGTCATGATGAAAGTGATCAGTAGTGATTTAAACAGATTATCTTCTTCTTCTTCTTCTTCTTCTTCTTCTTCTTCTTCATTCACGGGCTCTAAATTCTGGCGGAAGGTCCCGGTAGATTGTCCATTTGGACTTTTGGCTTTTACCTGGACCTGAGTTTTGCATGTACAACCCCTTTACTGGCTTTAGCAGTTCCCTGGCCTACGGGCAGATGTACTCCGACTTCAAGGGAATAAACAGATTATGAATTTTATTGCTGCTTCCCACTCCCTGCTCACCGATGTTTGCATCTTTGATGGGTCCAAAGATTCGTCGTAAGACTCTTTTCGAAAACCTCTAAAAGGTTTCATCTATTTTAGTTTTTTTTTTACTTAACCATTCCTAAATGACCAACCAAATCTTTCTCTACTGGTGAAGCAGTACCTCACAAAGCAAAATGTAACTGCACATTAACACCATCTTCTACATTCTCCTGACCTGGTACCAGCTGATTTTTGTTTTTGTTCCTTTACCTAAAGTTGACACTGAAAGGGCAGCGTCAGGAATCCTGGGGACGTTGCCGCCATTGCAACAAAGAAGTTTAAAGAGGTGTCAAAAGAAAGCTTTCAGAAGAATTTAAGACCACCAGCGGTGTTAGACAAGGTGATATTCTCTCACCTTACCTCTTCATTCTTATGATGGATGATGTCATCAAGACCTGTAAGGAGAAGACAAAGAAGTACTCTGTAGGGTACTGGAAGATGAGACCAATCTGTATATCAGAGCTGGCTTTTGCAGACGATGTGGCCCTGATAGCTAAATCAGAGGCACACCTTCAGTCCAACTTACTTGTCTGGAAGGAAGAGCTTGAAAAGAAAGGGATGACCATCAGTGTCTCCAAAACTAAAACCATGGTGATCTCAAGAGAGGAGAAGAAACACCAGATCATGATGGGTCAGTATGCGTTGGAGCAGGTTAACCAGTTCAAATACCTTGGAGTTGTATTAGACCAAAATGGAGGCATTAAGACTGAGCTGGCTACACGAAAAGCAGCTGCTGGGAGACTCTTCCAGGCCATAAACCGAGGGTTTCTTAGCAAAAGAGAAATTGGCAAGAGGACGAAAATGGCTGTTTACCGCTCTACCTATGTACCAGTCCTGACCTATGGGTGTGAGTCATGGGCAATGACAACAGCTCACAGAAGTCAGCTGCAGGCCTCGGAAATGAGATACCTGAGAAAGGTGGTCCAAGTGACAAGAAGGGACAAAGTCCGCAATCAGACAATACGTCAAGATCTTGATACCCAGTCCTTACCAACCCGAGTGGATCAGTCACAGTTACGATGGTTTGGACATGTGTGCAGAATGGGAGAAAATCGGCCACCATGGCAAGCATGGGAGGCTAAGAACCAGGGAACCAGACCTCCGGGACGACCCAGGGTGCGCTGGGAAGACAACATCCGACAGTCCCTGACTGACAGAGGACTGGAATGGAACAAAGCCAGAAAGAAAACTGCTGATAGAGACGTCTGGCGATCTCTCTGGCAAACCTCTACACCCCAAGGTAGAAGAGGAGCGACTAAGTAAGTAAGTAAGTAAGTAAGTCAAAAGAAAGGGCTTCAGGAATGTGCCCAACAACAGTATGCCTGTTGGCAAAAGTTTAGTTGCAGAAGAGAACTATTTTGAAGGAAATGTACAAAGTCCAGAAACTGTTTGAGGCTATCTGGTAGATATGGTGTATATTTTTTTGCAGAGTTTAACATTTTTAGTTGATAGATTTTGTAAATGTTTATCGAAGAGTTTAGTAAATCTGATACAGAAATTTATCAAAAATTTTGGGAAGAGTTTAGCTAAGTGCATAATAGGTTTTCTAACAGGTTATTGAGAAGTTTAATAAATATACGCAGTTAATTTAGTAAAAATTTTTTTTACAAATGTCCGTCGTAATTTTTTCTTATTTGGTAAAGTGCTAATTGATGAGTTTAACCAGTTTAAAGATTGTATACTTTTTTTTCTTCTGAAGATTGAAATCAGTTCAGCAGTTTCTTTCGAAGGCGGAGTGCATTCGCCTAAGAGGCAAGGAACCAACAGTCTGCATACAAATGAGTCAAATCTATAAAATGGAGGTACATGCAACACTTAGTTTCTGGAACGGGACTAGAGTCCAGAAGTGAACAAACAACCAGAACTTTCCACTGGAGTTTACAGCGGGTGAACACGAAGAAGAATGAGGAGTATTCAGCAGTATCTGAGGCAGATATTGTGACCCCTGTGTCATCAGTTCTTCATTTAAAATATATCAGTTCATAATTCATAATTCTCACTGTCTCTTTGACATTATTTGTGTGTGGTTTCTGTTTTCAGGAGATTCGGTTGAGAAGTCAATGTCTGTTGGAGAGAAGGGGGAATTATTTGAGGAGTGGTTGGAGCTGAGAAATGGGTGCTTGTGTTGTTCTGTGAAGTAAGTCGATTTGTTTTCATATTTTCATGTGGTCTGTCATTTGTCACTCTTCTTCACATTACTACCTGTTGACTGCTTGCCTCTCAGACAGAAGCACTCGGACTTTGAAGGAAGCTCCATATTAGTCGTCTCTTTGGGTTGCCACGTTAGCGTAGTTGATAGGAGACTCGCTTTCAAATCCAGCTGCAACTCGCTGCAGCCCACGGCGGTTCCTGAGGTTCACCCAGCCTCTAGGAAATGGGTACCAGAGTTAACACTCTGGGGTAAATGGAGGAACGTCGCTGTAGCTACGGAGTTGAGTCGGATGGCGACACACGTGGACAGTTTCTTATCAGCTATCCCTACTGGTGGCAGAGCACTATGGTTTATAACCATGAGCAATGATGCTGGTTCACATCTCCCGACTCTTACCTTTTTATCTTACAATATACTTTTGGGTAGGCAGGTCAATTTATGTTTTCCCCACAGTGTGGCTCTGGAACCTGTTCAGAGAGTATATGATTCAATCTGTAATCAATCAGTTCACAGCTTATTCAGTTCAGAACAACTTACAGTATGTAGGTAACACTATCCCTTGATTTCCCACTGTAGCGTATTGTGATCTTTCAAGTTGAATAAAGAGAGAGAAGATGCTGGACAGTCTGACATCATGGCATGGAGGATCATTTGTGTCCAGAATAAATGACAGTACATGAGAAAGAAGGCTGTGGATAGATTTGACTAGCAATGCCCTACGGCATAGACTTTAACAAGAAGAAAGAATGCAGATTGTTGTCAGAGCACACTGATTGTGAGATTTGAGGTTTTGAACAAAGGATCGACATCATGACACACGGGTAGTAACCCAAAAGTGCTGCGCTCTTTTTCTAACTCAAGTCTGAGTCAGAAAAAGCTCAGCACTGTGCACAGGCTCTGTAGCAACAGCGAGGATACTGAAATAATTTGTGTAGATTTTTAACTAAAAATTTTGCCCGGGTAGCGCCGTTAGGCAACTCTTTTCGATTTCCAGCTGCCAAGAGAGTTTACGTGTGCAACAATGCACACGGAGGTCCAATCTCACTACTCAGAGACCAGGAGGAATTACTAGGAGTCCATGTGGAAAAATCCCAGCCTTTACCGGGGAGTGAACCAGGAACCTATAGCACTCAAGGCGGACACCATGCCTCAGGACCAAGAAGCCCCCCTTAGAAATATTCATGAAATCAGATGCATTGAACCAGTGACCATTTTCAGAAAATGAGCAATAACACAATTTATACTGGCAGCAATATTATTACTCCAAAATAAGCCAACTCTTAAAACAAATTGGCCTCCCATAACAATAAGGTACTTTTGTTTCTGGTCTGTCAGAGACAACGGAGTTAAAGCTATTGAGAATTTGATGCAAAAGAAAGGCAAGTTTGACTACATACTTCTGGAGACCACCGGCCTGGCAGATCCAGGGCCTATTGCCTCCATATTTTGGCTTGATGAAGAACTGTGTAGTGATGTGTATTTAGATGGTGAGTATAATGCTTTTCAGGGCATTTCATTTTGATGTTTATCAATAGCAGAAATATCAATACAATCTTACCTTTCTCCCTCCGTCTTTTTTTCTTTCACTCTTGTTTATTTTTTCCATTTCTTCTTTTCTTATCTTCTTTCTGCCCCTTCAGCTGTCTATTGTTTATCATCCTTGGTTTTTTCCCCTCTTCAGCTCTCTCTTATTTTCCATCCTTCCTTTTTTCCCCATTGTTGCTTCCATTCTCTTCTTGAAAAAAATCTTTGTTACATCTCTTCCTTGTTCCTCTTTTTTTGCCAGCTTCTCTTTCTTTCTTCCTTTCTTTTTTCACTGATTCCTTATTTTTCTCTTCCTAATTGATTCCTTATTTTTCTCTTTCTTAATGATTCCTTTTTTTTCTCTTTCTTATTGATTCCTTATTTTTTTCTTCTTTATTGATTCCTTATTTTTATCTACTTTAACTTCACTCCTGCCTCCCTCCTTTCTCTCTTTACCCTATTTTACCCCTACCTTTGCCTTTTTCTGTCCCACCTTCTTTTTTCTTACTCTCTATTATCTCCCCCTCCTTTCCAAACACTCTTTATTTCTTCCTTCATCAAAACTTTATTTTTAGCACTTGGATGTAACAGTAACCTTGTGTATGTGCGTGTGTGTATTCATAGATGCATGCGCACGCTGGTTTTGTTTATATACATGTGTTTTTTCTCTTTCTTCATTTTGTATTTTGCTTTCTTTTCTTTTCCTTTATTCCTACATTGCTTCATTTTCGTCTCTCTCCCTTTACTTTGTTTCTTCTTTCCTTCCTTCCTCCCTTTCTCATTATATACAAGCTAGTACATTAAGACATAACTCCATTGCACCCTGGAATCCCTGAAAATGGACTTCAGCCAAAATCACCAAAATTGCACTAAGGTTTGAAGTCTGACTAAGGTTATTTTAGTGTAGTGCCAATGATATATTCCTGTATGAAGCTATTCTCTTCCACTTTGTTTTTCTTTGCTGACTGATTTATTGTGAGAGTTAATGTACATATTCTATAGTCTTATTCTTCTTCTTCATGTTCACCTGCTGTAAACTGCAGCGGAAAGTTCTAGTTGTTTGTCCACCTCAGGATATTTGTCTTGTTTCGGAACCCGAGTCTTGCGTGCGTATCCGTTTAACAGATCTGACTTAATTGTGTGCAGATTTTTGGTGTCTGACATCGAAGGAGGTCTCCCAGTTAGCCGACTCTTATGACATGCTTGTCTGGGAGGCAGTGGGCCTGTTCTTGTTTTCCCCACAATGGGGCTCTGGAACCCACATAGGGAATATTCTGTAGTAAAGCTGACTTTTGCCGCTGCCCTTCTTTCTGTAACTGACTTCTTTGTGTCAGCACTTGCTATGGGTCAAGCATTGTTGCGGTTTGGATGAGTGAGTTCTTCTTTTTCTGCATTCATCCTTAAAAGCGCAGTGGCATACTGTGTTGTGGTTCACAGCTAAGCTACGATTCTGCACCGTATGGACCATGTACATCTTATTTGAGCAAACTCCTGATTAGTGGTTTGTTTATTCGTTTGTTCGGTTAGGCTAACATTTTGTTTGCTGGCAGTGGGTCCCCTCTCCCCACTCTCCAGAAAATGGGGGCCTGGGACCCGCAAGGGAAACATAAGAAAGTGAGGATCAAGAAGTGTTGTATGATAACAGTACTTTTTTCTGCTGTTAATTAAACATTTGTTTCTACCCAGGTGTCATTGTAATGGTTGATGCCAAGTTCTGCACCCAGGTAGCTATTCAACATGTTTTGTGATCTGTTTTAAACTTCTGATGCTTTGAGGGGGATGTAATGGTAATTTTGTTATCCTAAAAATGATAATTTTATTATCTTAAAATGATAATTTTATAATCTTAAATGATATTTTTAATATCTTAAAATTATAATTTTATTATCCTAAAATTATAATTTTATTATCTTAAAATTATAATTTTATAATCTTAAATAATATTTTTAATATCTTAAAATTATAATTTTATTATCCTAAAATGATAATTTTATTACCCTAAAATGATAATTTTATTATCCTAACACTTTTGGAAGTGTGACGTTGATTGAAATTGATATTTACTGAGATGTATATCATTTTCATGTCTGGACCACTGCTGGTATTACAGAAAGGAGATGGCGATATATTGAATTCAGAGGACAAGAGACCAAGATCTGTGGAGGTGTGTGAACATTTACGCCAGCCGACAGGGCACGTGATGGTGACTAGGAACTGTTGTTGTTTTCATTTTTTTCTTCTTTCTTTTTAGGTGTTTAACAGTAATGTATCTTGTCCTTTGTTACAGCATTTGTTGGAAGAAAAAGCAGATGGGTCTGTCAATGAAGCTCAGAGGTAATTTGTTCTTGTCTCTGCCAGTTTTTATTCCAGTGCCCTGTTTTGGGGCAATAATGAATCGACCCACTTTAAAGAAAGCTCCCAATTAGTCAACTTTTACAACATGCTTTTGCATAGTCAGTGGCACTATTCTTGTTTTCCCAAAAATGGGGCCCTGGAACCCACATGTGGGGAAAATATGATTTAAAAAAAAAAAAGGACCCCCCAAAAAAACTCAAAAAACCTCAAGCACAATTGACAATAACTGTTATCACATTAATTAAATTTTTACCCCCCAGCCCCCCAAATGGGGCCCTGGAACCCACATGGGAGCTTTGTTCCTGTCTGTAATTGTGCATCTATCAATCCTGCAATCTTAAGCTGGTGATTAATTTTCTCATTGAACTTTGCTTGTTCTTGTGTTGATGGTTGCTGTTTTTTCACAGACAGATTGCCCTTGGAGATGTGATCATCATCAACAAAATTGATCTAGTGGAGAATGATGACTTGGAGATCTTGAATCACAGAATAAGGTGCTGTTCAAGTAGATTATCTGTTGATTTTTCTCTATAGCTTTTATCATACTTACAATGTGCTTTTATTGTGACGTCTTGAGTTTTAGTCTTTAACTCTTTCGGTCCAAAGCACTTATTACTTTAACTCCATCTGACCAGAATTGTTGAGCTCAAAACAGTAAACATTTAGGTCTGATGGAGTTGAACAGAGATATAATGGGACAGAAATAGTTGAACTAAATATTTAGATAAAAAAGGGTTGGTAGAGAGACGTTATATTAGTACTAATTAAAATCACATCTCAACAGGTACGAGATTTTGTGTCATCTCCCATTTATCCCATGGTCCTTTCCACGAGCTGTTCTATGTTCTGTGGGGGTTAGCGTATTCGTTCCTTCCCCTTCAACCTCTGTACACACAGTGCGGAAAACCGGCTCCAGTTCTTTCGAGGCTCACATGGAATTGCAAAGCTCTCTCGTTGCAGGCAACATTGATAGACCACTTCGTGTGTGTGTGCGGGTATGTGTGCGTGCGTGCCTGCCCCTCAATTACTGTACAGATGAACAGGAAATCTCTTCTATCAACTGGACCTCTGCACTGAGCGGACACATTGGCTGACTGGAAACGGACTTATAACACTCGTTCTCTAGCACGTGCACACAGCACATCAGCCTCGTCGAAGGACTTCGATGACCAGTGTGACTCCTGGCTGTGAGTCCCGCTCAGCACACAGCTTTCGCCGGCATCCCTGCTATCTTGTTTCACCAGTAAGCCTACGCCTCCCTGCGTCATCACCCAGAACAGCTACTTTTTAGTGTCCAGTCCTCGTGGCCTGACTCTGCCAACTGGACTCTCTTCCTTTGACTGCACCGCAACCGATTCTCTTGGCTCTCAGACACCACTGTCTGACTTTTACTGTGGTACTCTGTCTCTCCTCAACCCCAGTATATACCCTTGCCTGCCCCTTCTGGGCAGCTCATGCCCCACAAGAAGCAGGCTAGCACGCATCCCTTCCTTCTTCCATGTATCAACAGCTATCTCGCACAGGTCATGATAGTTAGCCCACGCGGCTACTACCTCGGGCCTCTCAGGTCCATCCCCTGTCAAGCCACTTCCCACTTGTCACAATATTGACTCAACCAACGGATATTTCCTGGCTTGAGTCAACACTGGGCAACATATTGACACAGGAAACTGAACATTCTCCTGGATTCAGACCACATTGTCCCTTCCCACAATGTTACAACCCACATGAATCAACACGCAACACTACTGCATACAAATAAACCAGTAAAACAGATGGACGAACAACCAGAACTCTCCGCTGCAGTTTACAGCCGGTAAACAAAGAAGAAGATAAAATTGCTTAGTGAAATCACAAACAGCCGCCCCGCCCCCTCTCCCCCCAACCACTCAAAACCCAAAACATGCTGGGGTTGATTTTTCAACGTCCTGTAAAGGATATGCAACTGACTTGGACTTTTTTTTTTTAAATGTTGTTGGAGGGATTATATGGAAGAGAGTCAGCATTCTAGTTTTGTACTTCTGGCAGTGAGAGCTCACTTGCTTTCTCATAAATCAATGAATTGTTTGCATAGTAGTATGGAAGGAACTGTTGCATCCCTATTCTCTTAAATTAAAAAGTTTTACAAGGCTCAGCAACTGGAATCAAAAGGGTTCTAACAGCAACTTGAAAAAGTATTACTTTTTTTTTTTTTCTTTAATTTAGAATTATTCTCCATTGCAGTGTTTTGATCTCTTAACTCTTTGAGTCCCAAAGAACGCATCATACGTTCATAGGTTGTGACCTAGAGACCCAATAAACACAAGATGCATTGATTTTACGTCTCTTTTTACTACCCCGTGGGCCTCTGATGCTAAACCCTTTGGGACTCAAAAGAGTTAAAATATTATACTGTATTGTTCTCCAGTCACTCAGCAGTGTTGTTTTTATATATTTGTTTAGTTGAAGTGTTACTTTGTCTTGTTCTAAAATCAGTCAGCAGTGTTTTGTTTTTAATACATTTGTTTAGTTAAAGTGTTGCTTTGTCTTGTTCTCAAGTCAGTCAGCAGTGTTTTGTTTTAAATACATTTGTTTAGTTAAAGTGTTACTTTGTCTTGTTCTCAAGTCAATCAGCAGTATTTTGTTTTTAATACATTTGTTTAGTTAAAGTGTTACTTTGTCTTGTTCTCAAGTCAGTCAGCAGTGTTTTGTTTTTAATACATTTGTTTAGTTAAAGTGTTACTTTGTCTTGTTCTCAAGTCAGTCAGCAGTGTTTTGTTTTAAATACATTTGTTTAGTTAAAGTCTTACTTTGTCTTGTTCTCAAGTCAGTCACCGATGTATTTTTTCTTTTTCTTTTTTCTTTAGTTAAAGCATTACTTTCTCTTGTATTTAGGTCAATCAACAGTGTTGCTAAAGTTCTACAGACTTCACGAGCCAAGTAGGTAACATATGATATTGTTAAGACTTTTGATAATTTTGTGTGTGTGTTTGTAATGTATACAATATGAAATGCTTGTCCATTAAATGCATTGATAGCACTACATAATGTGCTAGCCACCCTTTTTAAGGCAAACACAGAAGAAGGAGAAATACGATGATGTTGTTCACATAGTAGCGTAAGAGATTCCATTGGGGCCCTGGGTTTAAGGGTCTGTTCTTCTTCTTCTTTTGTCATCTCACTGATACCAGGTCGTAGCCCAGTGTTGTTTTCTGTATTTGTCTTGCACTTCTTGGGTGGCTTGGGTGATGGATTTGTTGATCTTTTTTTGCAGATTTATACTACACCATTTATCCTTCTCTTTCATGGTCTTCCTCTTGCCAGGGGTATCAGGTGAAAACCTGGCAAGTAAAGTCAGCTGGTATGATGTTGGCTACATTGTCCACCGAGTGCCGATTGGTCTATAAAATGTTCAGGCAATGATCCCCAGGGTTCTCTGTAAAAATTGCTTTTGTGAACTGATCGACAGTCATGAAATGAACCTACAACCTTCAGAGCACAAGGCAAACTGTTTGACAGGAAGACCCCATTTACCTTAAAATTTGAATGATTCTTCCCTGAAATACAACACGATATTGGATATGAAGCATTTAGGTAATGGAACTGTAACAGCAATAATACTCTCTGTCTCTTCCTTCCTCCAATTTCTCTGCCTCCTTCCTTATCCCCCCTTGTATCTCTGTCTGTCTTAGCCTCCCTCCCCCCAGCATTCTCTTTCTCTCTCTCTCTCTCTCTATCTATCTCTCTCTCTCTCTCTCTCTCTCTCTCTCTCTCTCTCTCTCTCTCTCTCTCTCTCAAAAGTGAGGAAATCTCTCATTTAAGAAATACAAAGTCAACTTGCATAGGAGGGATTCCATCATGTGGAACTTTCACTTCACTAAATATTCAGATGAGCCTAAGCCAGGTGTTGATCACTTGTATGAGCCTAAGCCAGGTGTTGATCACTTGTATGAGCCTAAGCCAGGTGTTGATCACTTGTATGAGCCTAAGCCAGGTGTTGATCACTTGTATGAGCCTAAGCCAGGTGTTGATCACTTGTATGAGCCTAAGCCAGGTGTTGATCACTTGTATGAGCCTAAGCCAGGTGTTGATCACTTGTATGAGCCTAAGCCAGGTGTTGATCACTTGTATGAGCCTCAGCCAGGTGTTGATCACTTGTATGAGCCTAAGCCAGGTGTTGATCACTTGTATGAGCCTAAGCCAGGTGTTGATCACTTGTATGAGCCTAAACCAGGTGTTGATCACTTGTATGAGCCTAAGCCAGGTGTTGATGTTTTAAATTATTGTGTGCACATAAATCGCTTCTTACCACTGAATATTATTTTGCTTCCCCAGAATTGATTTAGAACAAATCCTAGACATTAATGCCTATGGTCTGTCTGGCGACACTAAGTAAGTATACTGTGTCTGTTTTAAAAAGCTTGTATTATGTTATGACTGACTTCTGTGCACAGCTTTTTATGATGTTCACCTTGACTTTTTAATCAGATCAATTTATTGTTGTTGTTATTGCTATCGATCCAGCGGCGTATGAGCTTTCACCCTTTGGTCCAATGCCATGTAGTGGGGTTTACCTGTTTTCACAAGCTGTTCTTTTCCTCCATACAGGGTGTTCCACTTGTCTGGTCTTAAAGGGAGTAGCTTCTTCTAGTCTCGCTGAGTTTTGGGCATTCAAAGAGATGATGGTCAATTGTTTCGTAGGGGCAGCTACATAGCTGGCACTCTGGGGAGTTTTTGTGGATCAGATTAAAGCTGAAACTAATGTGACCAAAGAGGCCAAGTGGTGTGGAGTTTGTTGGAGTGAGAATTGGTTTTTGAAGATTAGAGACAGAATAAAAAAATTTAAAAAATGGAAGTAACAGAACTGATTACAAAAAAGTGTTCTGAAGGGTTGTACTTAAGCTGGGCTATCCTCCGACTAACGATCGGTAAAGATAGTGGCCGCAAAATATCCTTTCGAGCCACAGTCACATGTCATTTGCGCACTAGCGGTCACAAGCTCACAGTGGCTGCTGCTTGCGGGTCCTAGCAATCCAGTTTAGCCCCATCTCGCGGCGAGGGTGACACATGGCGGTGGCGGTAGTCGCCGACCCAATTGACATGTGACTGTGGCTCGAAAGGATATTTTTCGGTCGCCATCTTTACCGACCGTTAGTCGGAGGATAGCCTTAAGCTGTTTGCTTTTAGGAGAAATATCTGGACAATCACTGGGTTGAGTAGTTAGTTATAAGACAAAGCCTTCAGGGATACTGAGCATATGTGGCTAGACCTATATGTTTATGTGGGTGATATGGTCAACAACCTGCCGACCATCTTTGCTTCTCAGAACTTTACCTGGGACACATTAAAGGCTGCGTCGACCTGGGAGCCATGGTCATATTTAAAAAAAAGTCTGGATTTGTCAGGTCATGAACTCATGACCTTCAGATCTACAGGTGAGCATCTAGCCACTAGACAATGGCAGTTCTATTCTCCGAATATCAGTCCCAAATTATCGAGGCCGAACAGGGCCTCAGCCACGCGTCAATTGCGTACTTCCGGGGACTATACCGTCAGCCCCGAATTGCAAACTTCCGGGGACTATACTGCCACCGCCGAAAGAATCCCCCACGCCGCTCACGAGGCGTGTATTGGGGCTAAACTAGATGGCTGGGACTCACGAGCAAATAAAATTAAGGAAGCTGCAGGAGATGCGGTAGCTGCTGCTGAGTCCCAGTCATCTAGTTTAGCCCCAATCCAAGCCGCGTGGGGGGATACTCTCGGCGGTGGCGGAAGTCGCCAGAAGTGCGCAATTTAAAAAGCTGGAAATTCGCAATTAACACGTGACTGAGGCCCTGTTAGGGTTTATTTTCGGCCCCGATAGTTTGGGACTGTTATTCGGAGGATAGCTAGCAGTTCCCCTTTAATGCAAAGAAGATGTCCGTATGTTCCTGAGAGGAAGCAACCAGAATCACAAAGCAGACACTGAAATGGGACACCAGTGGATTTAGGAAAAGAGGACTGTCAACTCTGTAAAGAAGGTTGTTCAGAGAGGCTAAAGGTGCTGGACTGGATTCCATTCTGGATATTGAAAAGATTGTAATTACATGACTAACCAAGTCATGACCAACCCTGAATTCTTTTCACCATGTTGTAGATGAGTTCGTAAAGTGATTTTGGTTATAGGCATAAGGGAAGGTAAAGGCCATTGAGCTGTGTTTAAAGGGATACTTCCTACCTCACGTCAGGTATTATGAATTAATCGAGTAACAGAAAGTGTATTGATCGGCACTCATAGAAAGAAGTAGAAAGATAGAAAAACACACTAGACAACATAAAAATCGAAAGCTATAGTTACCGTTCCGGGAATTGAACCTGTCACCTCCAGACGGCGTCTGCGCCTCGCCATGAATACAAGTGCACTAAGATACATGGCACCCCCAAACGTCAGGTACCATCAGGCTTTGTGCTTGTTTTACGGAACATCATTCAAGACTGCAGTCACGCGTCCACCACCAATAACAGCTTGAATCACTCAGGGCATATGACATCAAGCAACTGTCATCCTCTAGTGCAGAGAAATTAAACTGACAGCTGTGGGCCGGATTTGGTCCGCAGATACCTTGTAAGTGTATCACTTGCCAGTTGCATTGAATTATATGCTGGGCTCGGTCCTGTGATCCAAATTTTCATAATTTTACCTTCTCTTTTCAGACTAGAAGATATATTTGCACAGAGAGGCTTTTCAGTTGAGGACAAACACATTGTTGATCAGGTAGGTTGGTCTTCCTCTCCTTTAATTTTTTCTTATTCTGGTTCAGAGTTTATACATAATGAGAATAATATTCCTATATTATAGTATTTTTAGTATGTTAGTATATATGATCTATGCGTAAAGATATCAAGTACACTTCTACTGCCATTGTTGAGATGAGTCAAGAATGGACATCACAGCACTCGGGGCATTCCCATGCATGCTCTATCCTCATCTTCAGCAGCCAGCGCAGAGTTCCAAAACTGATGGTACCGGTCACTATCTGGTTAAAAGTCCGTCTTGCCTTTGAGTGTAGTGAGCCAGCCAGACCCTCTGGTTACACCCAGGTGCCTCATTCTCTCCAGGCCATAATAATCTTCTTTCTCTACTGATTCCGTTGCTTGTTCCCAAAGGGCCTTGACCACATCTGCCTCGTCATGTATCAATTCACCACTCAGTGGTGTATGCTCACCACCCGTGACCTTTCCAGTGAAGCTAGCCACTCTGCTTGAAGCATCGCTGAATTGACCTTTTCTAGCATGCTTTCAGAGTCTTTTACAATTATGACATGTGTATACATCTTGTTCTCTAGCCACTGGAGAGCTGCAGTTACTGCCTCCACCTCCATTCTCGTGCTAGATGTTGTGGTGTCAAATGCTAGGCTGTCTTGCACTAAAGATTTTCCATTGGCTTTTGCTGTGAACCCTAGGCACTTTTCTTTCCTCTCAACACTAAACCATCTGTATAGATAATCAAATCATCTGGCTGTGAATTGTCATGAATCAGCTGTTGGACTTCAACCTCCGTAACACCCGCTGGCCACTCTCTGCACACCCGGCTCAATGTTATCCTAACCCTACACAGGTCAGACTTTCCCCACTGGTACTCTGACCCACTCTTCTCCTCACCCAAAGTTCTCCAGCGTGCAAACTTGTATTATTGTGTCTTCTGCTTGAGCCATCCATGATTTTTCCCCCTTTCAGCCTTTGACCCTTGCCTGCAGCCAAGGCTTCATACAGAGGGTGTTCTCTGTCTGCAGCTACTCTGAGATATGACTTAGCCTGCAGCACCTTTAGCCTATCAGCCGCATAGCTTCATTTTGTATGTGCTCCAGTTTCTCTAGCTGACTCTTCGAGACAGTGAGTAACCCCAATTCATAGTCAATCACTGAAATGATTAAGTGCTGGTAAAGTGTGAACAGCCTTCTCTGCTCCATGTTCATCGCTGCCATAATCTTTAGTCCGTTTAGACCTTTTTGAGCTCTTGTCACAAACCCCTCTATGTGATCCCTGAAAGACAAACTTCTGTCAAAGGTGATTCCCAGGTCCTGCAGTCTCTTTTGATGCCCCTGCCATTTATTTTGAGTCTGGGAACATCAGCTCTAACAATCCTGTTGTTCAATGAACACCACAGGACACCTGCCTTTTCTGGGTTGATTACAGCACTAATCTCTGTACACCAGTCAATCACCTTCTCTACTGTTGCCTGTAACTCTTCAGCTATTTGATTCCGATCTCTCCCCCCTCCTATATACAAGAACATCATCTGCAAATGTCAATATTCTGCCAACTCCAGGTGTTTCCAGACAGGCAATCTTGCTCGTTAAAGCATTGAATGAATAGTACAGGTGAAATTGCAGATCCCTGTGGCCATGAGCCCAGGCGGAGAGCTACCCGGCGAGTATACAAAACAGCTGCTATCCACTTCACCAACCAAGGACAGACCCCCTTTCCATAAGCGCTTTCATCAAGATACTGTATCTGACTGTGTTGTAAGCGTCTTCTAAATTGAGTGCCACTGCTACCGTTTCCTGTCTGTTCTGGAAACCTTTAAATGTATTAAAGGTAAAAGTGGCAGTATTTGACTACTGAGTTAACCATTCAATTTGCAATGTTGGCAATTATAACAGTTATGGTTTGGCAGTTATAACACATATATGGTTGGCAGAAGTAACATCTATATGTGGCAGTTGTTACATATGTATGGGACATGTTTAACATTTGTAGTTCACAGTTTTAACATGCATAAATAGCAGTACTAACAATTACAGGTCACAGTTGTAACATGTATGAGTGGCAGTAGTGATATTTATGAATGGCAGTAGTGATATTAATGAGTGGCAGTAGTGATATTTATGTGTGGCAGTAGTGATATTAATGAGTGGCAGTAGTGATATTTATGAATGGCAGTAGTGCTATTTATGTGTGGCAGTAGTGATATTAATGAGTGGCAGTAGTGATATTTATGAATGGCAGTAGTGATATTTATGTGTGGCAGTAGTGATATTTATGTGTGGCAGTAGTGATATTTATGTGTGGCAGTAGTGATATTAATGAGTGGCAGTAGTGATATTTATGAGTGGCAGTAGTGATATTTATGAGTGGCAGTAGTGAAATTTATGTGTGGCAGTAGTGATATTTATATGTGGCAGTAGTGATATTTATGTGTGGCAGTAGTGATATTTATTTGTGGCAGTAGTGATATTTATGAGTGGCAGTAGTGATATTTATGGGTGGCAGTAGTGATATTTATGTGTGGCAGTAGTGATATTTATGTGTGGCAGTAGTGATATTTATGTGTGGCAGTAGTGATATTTATGTGTGGCAGTAGTGATAATTATGAGTGGCAGTAGTGATATTTATGAATGGCAGTAGTGATATTTATGAATGGCAGTAGTGATATTTATGTGTGGCAGTAGTGATATTTATGAGTGGCAGTAGTGATATTTATGAGTGGCAGTAGTGATATTTATGAGTGGCAGTAGTAATATTTATGAGTGGCAGTAGTGATATTTATGTGTGGCAGTTGTAAGATCAATTCATGGCAGTTATTTATATTTTTAACATGCATTGGGGACAATTATAACATGTATGGGTGGCTGTGGTAACATTTATGCTGGGGCCAACATTTTGTTCATGTTAACTGAGTGATCTTCTTTAGTGAAATCATGTTAACAAGATTTCATTGTAATAACCTCTTATGACATGCTTGCTCAAGGGCATTGGTTCTGTTATTTTTCCCCAGAACCGACATGAACTGACAGAGTAAATTTTATTCATCATAATTTCTCCCTATGTGGATTCTGGTCTTAACCTTCTGCTGGTTAGAAGAGCTGCAGGAGTTTCAAGGAAAGACTGAATACAAAATCACAAAATCAGACAAATGCTAGGAATAAAGCCAGTCTTACAAGTCATCAAAGAACAACAATTGAAGTGGTTTGGACACCTAAAGAGAATGCCCTGGTACTGTCTGCCACAGCGAGCCGCAATAAAATGTTACAACGGGTATAGAGCGAGTGGAAGACTGGAAGGCCTCGGAAAAAGATGGAATGATGGCATTAAGAACAGCCTGCAGAAATGAACATCAGTCTTAATTTTGCTCTTGACAGAGCTCATTAATAAAGGTTACACCCCCTCCCCCCCCCCCACCACTTCACTAAGGTACAAGGTGGAAGAAGTGGATTCTGGAACCCCCATTTTGGGATAAAACAGTAGACCTACCCCCCCCCCCCCCCACCCCTCCCTCTTCCAACAAACATGTCATAGGAGGCAACTAATTTGGAGTGTTTCCTTTTAAGTTGGAGTGCATCTGCCTGAGAAGTGAGAAACCATCTGCATACAGGTAAGCCAGATCTGAATAATGGATGCACACTCTAATTCAGGTCCTGAAATGAACAAAGCCACAGTCCAGAAATGGATGAACAAGCAGGACTTTCTGCTGAAGTTTACATCCGTAAACATGGAACAAACAACAACAGTCATGATTTCTGCCATTGCTTTATGAGGTTCATATGTTTCTAATGTTTACAGAGTGTGGGGACTCGGACGGTGGTAGTGAATGGAAGTATGGACAAGTCACGGTTAGACAACTTCCTGCAAGCTCTTCTGTGGGAGAAAAATGTGAAAGACCTTCAAGGGAGGCCAACAGAAGTGATACGGCTCAAGGTTGGATTTAATTTTAGTCATAATTATTTCTCCAGTTTTTCCAAATGTGTGACTGATAAACGATAATCATTTTGACATATTTTTTCTCACCAGCTGTAAATTGCATTGGAAAGTAGTGGTTATCCATCCACTTCCAAACTTTGGTCTCATTCCAGGATTAGAGTTTTGCATGCACATTGGGTTTTCAGATCTGGCTTATTTGTGTGCAGACTGTAGGTTCTTTTCTTCTTGCAGGTAGATGCACTCTGACTGAAGGAAACATTGATTCTATCTATATTGGCCAGGATGTGTTATGGGAACCTGTTTCTGGGGTGACCACAAAGAGGTGTAGACATGTTTTTACTAGTATGAGCCCTGATCTGGTCCTTGTCCACCATGACGTGTGTTTCAGCAACTCTCCATCCCAAGGCTGGGAAATGAAACCTTTATTTATAGAAACTGGTCTAAACACTTTTGCCTGAGAAGCTGAAAAACCATCACTTCCGGTTGGGTCCAATTCACTTTAAATGTCTCGTTTCCGACTTGTCTGTAGTGACCTGCGAGATGCATAGTTAATACTATTGGCTGAGTTGATGTCAGATTTTCTCTTGAGCCTCAGTGATTGAGGTCACTGGGTCACAACTTGAGTCACCCGACACCCTGGGGGGGGGGGGGGGGGGGGGGGGGGGGGATGTATCCCCATTTATTGCTTCACCCTATTCATGTTTATTGATTACTCCTGTCATGTATCTTCATATATTTCAAAAAATAATTTTTAAATATAGATAAGTACATTTTTTATGAATTTTTTAGGGACCTGTGCAAAAATGACTGTTTTTACTGATTTTTTCTTAGAATTCTTATGGCATAATAACTAGTTTTTTTTTTTATAGCTTTCCCAGAACAAAAGGTTAAATACATTGTTAGTAAAGATGATATTGCTGAAAATAGAGACCAGTGACAACATACTATATATACAGACATAGCAGAACATGACAATTCCCTGGGTGTAAATAGCTTTTCTACAGTATGAGAAAGTAAAAAGACTACAGAGTCACCCGGTGCATTTTAAATTCTAAGAGCGAACACACACACACACAAACTGACTTAGGTTTCAGAGCCCCATCCACCTTGCTAGAGAATTGAACAGACGGGCACCAAAATAGTATGGATGTGAACTGTGTGAAAAGCTGAGCCTAGAGTCAGGCACATGCAAACCAAATGAGACAAATGTAGTCCTAGAAGTACCAGGGATCACTACAAAAGATTTTCAGATGAACAGAGATACAGCAGAACTTTAACTCTTGCAATGCTTAAAGAGAGAACACTTGTACCATTTGGACTGATGCAGTCAAAAATTAAAGTTGTGGAATGTACATTAAACACCCCACCTGCAGTGTAGAAAACAGTGTCCCAATATGGACATCTGAACAAGCTACACGACTGTGGCATCTGCCTTCCAGTCCAGCACCTCATCACTCAAGAATTCATAGGGTACACAACTGCTGTACCCCATGGCTCACTGTCTGTTTTTTAAAGCACCAACAAGCAGAAAACAAGGCAGAATAATTACAGGACCAGCATCAGCTTCTTTTCCAAGGAAGTAAAACTGGACCTGCAGTGGACACCAGCTGATTGTGGTATTCCAGGAAATGAGAGAGCAGATGAGCTAACAAGAGCTGGGGGTGATCTTCCACAGCCTCATCCACTGCATAGCTACAAAGAAACCAAAACAGTCCTAAAGTAGTCCTTCGAGAGGGATGGGAGAAGGTAGAATGCAGACTACAGAATGAAGAGTGACAGCATAAACAAACTTAAACATCAGCAAAAAACAAACAGCAGTTCCTAGGCTTCAGATGGGACACTAGTCTTAAAACAGACCTACACAAGATAGACAGAAAAGATCTGCCATCTATGGTTGTGGAGCAGACAGACTCCTGATCATATACTGCAGGATTGCCCTACTTACACTACAAGATCTACGCATGCGAAACATGTACTATATACTAGCACCAGGCTAGAAAGTTAAACCACTTTCACAGTCTGCTTTAGAAAACTAATGCGGATCAGATGTTAAGACAAAGTACCTGATACTTTACTACTTGAGAAAGCAACCATGCCCAGCATCCACACTCTACTGATGCAGAATCAAATTCGTTGGGCTGGTCATGTGGCATGCATGCCAGATCACAGGCTCCCAAAAAACTCTTCTATGGCGAGCTGCAAAATGGGAAATGTTCCCAAGGCTGACAAAAGAAACGCTCTAAGAACACCTTGGAGTCTTAACTCAAAGCATTTAGGATGAATGACACCAATTGGGATTCTGCCTCTCAAGACCGAAATGCATGGCGTGCAGCTCTACACATGGGTGCGGCTACATGTGAAGCAAACAGAACAGCAAGACTGATTAAGAAAAGGATGGACAGAAAGGCGACTGCAGGAGACCCCCTCCCTGGCACAACACTCATTCCCTGTCCTCACTGTCCAAGAACCTTTCAGGCCCACATCAGCCTCATCAGTCATTTTTGTACTTGTACTTGGTGAAAAAGAGTGGTCATCATCATCTTGACGGACAACACACACACACACACAAGCCAAGTTGTGGGTGTTGGTGGCAACTTTAGATGTGTGATCCTATTTTTTTCTCTTTACCCAGATGGGACTAAATGTTAATCATGCTTGATATTTAGAGCAGAAGAAGAAGACTGGCTCAAAAACATAACTAGAAGAATAAGCAACCTTAGTTGTTGTTTGTTTAGTATTCGAAGATAAACATTTTGTTGCTTATTGTTTGTTATTTAGACCTTATCCAGCTTATTAATAACCATGAAAAAATCAATTTACCCATAACAGAAGTAGAACTAGTTAGCTTCCCAGTAAAGCAGTCCTGAAAGAGAAAATCACTGTTGCAGCTAGAAAGTTTTCATTAGCATACACAAAAATAAAATGATCAGTGTTGCTACATAGAAAACTACAATTAGTCTTTTTGTTCTTCAGTTCCTCTTTTACTGCTTCTGGTGTAGGGAGAGATAATTAGTTTTGCCCCTTGATCTTCTGGCTACTTGGACAATAACACATAATACTGCTGTAAAGTTTCTCTGATGTTATCTTTCCAGTCTTGTTCGTTGTCTACCTTGTGCTCTGTATCCATCTTTTTTGGTGTATGCCTTTTATGTTTTGGCATTGTGAAGCTTTCTTGCTAAATGAGCACACCATTTTTTTTTGCTGTCTTTCTGTGTAACTTAGTATTGGCTCTGTGCAGACTTTTTATCTTATGACTTCTTTCCTGATTCTGTCAGGACATCTCATTTTCATGTTTACCAATTTTCTTTTCTGGTTTGCTGAAAGTCACTATGGAAAACTACTTATAATAACTAAGCCTTTTGGATGAAATCAGCTGGCTGTCAGAATGTCCATAGGATTGAATAAATAAGCTGCATGCAATCACCTTGAATTAACGGATAGACAAGCATGCAATCACCTTTGTTGAGTTAACAGATAGACAAGCATGCAAGCACCTTTGTTAACAGATAGAAAAGCATGCAAGCACCTTTGTTAAGTTAGCAGATAGACAAGCATGCAAGCACCTATGTTGAGTTAACAGATAGACAAGCATGCATGCACCTTTGTTGAGTTAACGGATAGACAAGCATGCAATCACCATTGTTGAGTTAACAGATATACAAGCATGCAAGCATCTTTGTTGAGTTAATGGATAGACAAGTATGCAATCACCTTTGTTGAGTTAACAGATAGACAAGCATGCAAGCATCTTATCTTTGTTGAGTTAATGGATATACAAGCATGCAAGCATCTTTGTTGAGTTAATGGATGGGCAAGCATGCAAGCACCTTTGTTGAGTTAACTGGTAGACAAGCACACAAGCACATTTGTTGAGTTAATGGGTAGACAAGCATGCAAGCACCTTTGTTGAATTAAGGAATAGACAATCAAGCAAGCGCCTTTGTTGAGTTAACGGGTAGACAAGCATGCAAGCACCTTTGTTGAGTTAACTGGTAGACAAGCACACAAGCGCATTTGTTGAGTTAATGGGTAGTCAGGCATGCAAGCACCTTTGTTGAGTTAATGGGTAGGCAAGCATTCAAGCACCTTTATTGAGTTAATGGGTAGACAAGCATGCAAGCACCCTTGTTGAGTTAATGGGTAGACAAGCATGCAAGCACTCTTGTTGAGTTAATGGGTAGACAAGCATGCAAGCACCCTTTGTTGAGTTAATGGGTAGACAAGCATGCAAGCACTCTTGTTGAGTTAACGGTTAGACAAGCATACAAGCACCTTTGTTGAGTTAATGGGTAGACAAGCATGCAAGCACCCTTGTTGAGTTAATGGGTAGACAAGCATACAAGCACCCTTGTTGAGTTAATGGGTAGACAAGCATGCAAGCACCCTTGTTGAGTTAATGGGTAGACAAGCATGCAAGCACCCTTGTTGAGTTAATGGTTAGACAAGCATGCAAGCACCTTTGTTGAGTTAATGGGTAGACAAGCATGCAAGCACCTTTGTTGAGTTAATGGGTAGTCAAGCATGCAAGCACCTTTGTTGAGTTAATGGGTAGTCAGGCATGCAAGCACCTTTGTTGAGTTAGGGAGTTGTCAAGCATGCAAGCACCCTTGTTGAGTTAAGGGGTAGTCAAGCATGCAAGCACCTTTTGTTGAGTTAATAGGTAGATAAGCATGCAAGCACTCTTGTTGAGTTAACGGGTAGACAAGCATGCAAGCACCTTTGTTGAGTTAATGGGTAGTCAAGCTGATTAATCTGTTTTTTCTTCCTTTATCCCACTGCTTATGCCGTATAGCATCACATAGAGGAGTTTGAAGTAGTTTCCTTTCCTTTTCCTAGTTGTGTAGCTTGTGTTAATGTCATAGTGTGTTTCTCTAGTGTCTCGTTTACTCCATCCACCCATGTGTTTCTTGGTCAGTCTCTTGTTTTGTTGCCTGTTGTTCTCATGTAATAAGCTTTAGCTGCTGGCTGATTTTGTTACATTCTGACCAGAAGACCAAACCATTTGATTCCTTATTTTCCAGGAAATCATTTACTCCTAATGTGCATACCATTGTCTTACTTTATTGTTAGTGACAATCTCTTCCTGTTTTGTCTTTTCTGCCACATTTCTCATGCTTCTCAAAGCTTATTTATTAAAGGATATATTTAACCAAGTGGGTGTTAAAAAAAAAACACACACAATAAACAACCGCTTTAAAAACGCACACATTTAGCAATTGTTTGTTTTGCATTTGAAACAAAGATCCTTGCTTTTCTCTCTATAAATTTGCACCCTTTTCATCTTGTTAATTTAAGGTTATTAAGTTAAGATCTTTTATTTTTATATAATTTTGATTTGATAGATGTGATAGTGTTCTTTTTCCATTTTGGAATTTTTTTTTCAAATTAAAAGTTTGATGGGTAGGCGATGATTTATCCTGTATATTTATCTACCAACCAGAAGTCTGTAATTGGTTGTCCCTTTATTTTTACATTTTGAATTGTTGGATTATCGTCAGATATAGTATCCTTGTAATTTTTTTATGTGTTTCTAATGTTAGCATTACACTTATGGCTTACTGAGGCCTGAATACTGTACATGGATTAACTAAGTTTATAAATTTATATAATGACATAAAATATTCTATTGTGAGTGTGTTTTTTGAAAAGGTATTGTGAAAAAGAAATATCGATTTCCGTTTGTGTTATAGCTATATCCTGTTGTTCAGTATATGTTTTTTTATGTGTGTGTGTTCTCATGTAAGTCAGTATCAGTGCTAAGAACCTATTATTGTGAAGGGGAGTTTATAAAAACTGATATTGCTTCTTTGTAGTAGAGATTTAGTTGTATGGCTTTTTCTTAGTACTTTGAGGTCCCACAGTGCATTTTCTTTTCATTGAAGCAACACTCAGTCTGTCCTGTTTTCTGGGCGTTTTTTTCTTCAGTTTTGTTAAGTTTGTCTGTGGGAGCTGTAGTAGTGCTCTGGTTAGAGCTTGCCTACCAACTCAAAGGTCTTGGGTTTGCATCCACATCTGTACGGATTTGTATGTCAGCCACAGCTAGTTCACTTATGTATTGCAGTATTAGCCTTTGCCAGCCAGTTAATGTAATACAGTAAAGTGAAACTTTGCAAGCTTAGAGAATCTGCTTGACGATGTCTTTATGGATAGCAAGGTTAAGGTATCTTCTATCAAAGACGTTAACCCTTTCAGCTCCAGACATGTCTTTCTTGAACTCTTTATTTCCCAGGGAGTTGTTGCTTTTCATTTAGAACCTAGGGTAGTCACCATGGCAGAGCGGCTAAACGCTCGCTAAGGATCAAAAGGTCGTGGGCTTGCTCACTGATCGAGCTGGACTTTTTTCAAAAACACCATTGGCTCCCAGATGGACCCAGCCTTGAGTGGGTACAGGGAAGTAAAGGCGGCCGGTGTGATGCTGACCACATCACCCATCTTTTGCCGATTGGTCTATAAAATATAGGTATAGCTCAGTACATGCCAAAACGTGGAAAAGGGTTCTTTTGTTTCCTTTTTTACTTATTTAGAGCCAAGGGGCCTCAAATGATAACACTAGTGAACAAAGGAAACTGAATTAACAATTGAGATATAGGTTAAAACTAAAGCTTAATAGGATACAAGGTGCTAATAAAAGCATATCAGGCCAGGCACTTCTAGCATAAACTGGGTGAGTTGCTTGATGATCTTTAACTGAAAGAGATAAAGCACTTCCCTTCTTCCTCCACTAGCCTACCGGATTCTCTTAGGCACAGTGGAGTACCTGATAAACCTTCTTCCCGTAAAATCATGTTGGATTGAGTTGTAGAGCACTTGGTGTGTGGTTGTTGGTCATAGCTTCTAGGTTGTCAGCAGTTGGGAGAGGATCCCACTACAGAGACAATGACTGTGGTCATACCAGAAGCAAAGCAATGACAAACTTGCCTTTTTTTTAAATGCCAAGATAAATTACGATTTGACAAAAATAAAATACACTATTAATACTGTATCGATTGCAGGCAATGAACTACAGCCTTTGGTGGGTGCAGTAATAGAGCGGAATGAGTAACTAGGCTTAGAGGTAAATTATAAGAATATGGAAATTATAGTTATCACCCCAGAATAAAAATAATGTAAAATCCATGCAAATATGAAAATTGTTTTAACTCGTAAACTGGTAGAGCTTTCTTCAAACAGTCAAAACATTTGACGCAGGACGCCTTGCAGAGATAAGATCAAGAATGTTTGTGGCAAAAGTAGCCTATAGCAAGATAAGTAGATACTCACCAGTAAAAAGGTGTCACTTGCAATGAGAAAAAGAGAGTTAAAGTACTGTATTGAACCTATGTGTGTTGTTTGTATGCGAGACATAGACATCCCCCCCCCCACCCCCAAACACCCTGTAGATTCCTGGGCCCTATTTTAGGAAAGAAAAGAATAGACCCACTGCTCCCCTCCCCCTTTCTCCCCCCGTTCCCCGTACCCTCTAAACAAGCATGTTATAAAAGGGGGTTCAGGATAGTTGCGTATCCTTTACATGACGTTGCAGAAACAACCTGGTTTCTCTAGGCAAATTTACGTCCAGTAGTTTGTCATTGCTTTCTGGATGGTCGGCTTTCTTGATACCACTGTCGAAACCAACGCAAGGCGCATGGCCTGCAGCTGGGATCGAACCCGGCATTACGCAGAGTTTGCATTGATTTAGCCACAGAGCCGACTATATAAGGGGACTGATTATAAATTTGCTGAAATTGCATCTGTTTGCCTGAAAGATGCAGTTTTTTTTTTGCCTAGCTGTAAACTCCAGTGTACCAATGGCCCTTTGAGTACAGACATAGTAGATGAAGGAGATGTAGACAATAAGCAGACGAGGCACCCACTATTAGAGAAACTGTTTTCTGAAAAGAATGCACAAAATATCATGCAATGATAAAAAAACAAATAAGCGGTCCTTCTTGAGACAGGTTACAAACAAAAACCTTAGTTAAAGAAATTAGATGTAGAAATTGTGTATTTTTTTGACAATGTTAAGAGATGGAATAGACTTTAGAACTTGGCGAAAACTGGCCAGATTGATGGGACAAAGAGCAGGGGGAAGGCAAAGAAATAAATACTTGGACGGCTTAGCAAAATGGATGCAGCGGGACAAGAGCACTGACATGATCTGTGATTACGGTGATCCTGTAGGTGGTGAACCGTGACCACCTGTGCGTGTTTTTTTTTTCAAGCAGATGATTTTAGCCATTAAAAGGCCACTTAGCATGTTATATTTGTGGTGTACAGCTAGGCTGCAAAAGTTTTAAGATGACTTGAGTAATCTTGCCTATTTTATTGTTATCCAGGGTGTGGTCTCCATACACGGCAGTGAGAGACGGTTGGTGGTTCAAGCTGTCCATGAGCTCTATGATTCACAGTTTACCACAGTTTGGGAGCCTGAGGAGCCTCGGTGCAACACCATTGTTTTTATAGGTTTGTGAAGTTTGGTTTTAACATACGGCAGTTGTTGTTCTTTGCGTTCACCGGCTTTAAACTCCAGTGGAAAGACCTGGTTGTTCATCCACTTCTGAACTTTGGCTTTGTTCCAGGGCCTGAGTTTTGCATGTGCAGCTGTTTTACAGATCTGACTTATTTGTATGCAGACTGCTGGTTCCTTGCCTTTCAGGCAGATGCACTCCGTTTTCAAAGGAAGCCCCCAGTTAGTCGACTCTTACAACATGCTTTTTGGGGAGGCAGTGGGTCTATTCTTGTTTTCCCTATAATGGGGCCCTGGAACCCACATGGGGGACATACGGCAGTGAATCCTAGACCATTAATAAACAAGCCGAACATTATCTTGAGGCCTCCGAGACGTGCTTTTACAGAAGAATCCTTACAATTGCTTGGACAGCTAAGAGGAGTAACTCAGATGTTTTGAAAGAGGCAGGTGCTCGCAGACAACTTATCACAAACATCAGAAAGAGACAGTCATCATTTTTGCGTCATGTGTTGAGAAGAGAGAAGGAAGATGGGACATGTTGTAACCACTCGAAAGATTTGTGGAAAGAGAGACAGAGGAAGACAGCGGGAGAAGATTCTTTACAGCCTTTTGTCATTGCATGGAGGGGTGTCAACACACGAACTGATACACGCAGTTGCAGATCACAGATTGTGGAGATCACCAGTCGGCAAGACACTTGATGATGAGGAAGCTTGGTTATAATTGGTCTTTAGGACTGCAGGTTACACCTGGCTTTGTGTATGAAAACTTCTGTGGAGTTTGAACAGGGTATCTGGGATCTGCCTTGTTGTTCTGCAGTGAAGACTGCTCCCACATGCTATCTTTGGCTCTGTCACTGCTCCCACATGCTATCCATTAGACTGCCACTGCTCCCACATGCTATCTTTGGCTCTGCCACTGCTCCCACATGCTATCCATTGGACTGCCACTGCTCCCACATGCTAGTTTTGGCTCTGTCACTGCTCCCACATGCTATCCATTGGACTGCCACTGCTCCCACATGCTATCTTTGGCTCTGTCACTGCTCCCACATGCTATCCATTCGACTGCCACTGCTTCCACATGCTATCTTTGGCTTTGTCACTGCTCCCACATGCTATCCATTGGACTGCCACTGCTCCCACATGCTATCTTTGGCTCTGTCACTGCTCCCACATGCTATCCATTGGACTGCCACTGCTCCCACATGCTATCTTTGACTCTGTCACTGCTCCCACATGATATCCATTGGACTGCCACTGCTCCCACATGCTATCTTTGGCTCTGCCACTGCTCCCAAATGCTATCTTGGCTCTGCCACTGCTCCCACATGCTATCTTGGCTCTGCCACTGCTCCCAGATGCTATCCATTGGACTGCCACTGCTCCCACATGCTATCTTGGCTCTGCCACTGCTCCAACATGCAATCTTTGACTCTGCCACTGCTCCAACATGCTATCTTTGACTCTGCCACTGCTCCAACATGCTATCTTGGCTCTGCGACTGCTCCCACATGCTATCTTGGCTCTGCCACTGCTCCCACATGCTATCTTGGCTCTGCCACTGCTCCAACATGCTATCTTGGCTCTGCCACTGCTCCCACATGCTATCTTGGCTCTGCCACTGCTCCCACATGCTATTCTGGCTCTGCCACTGCTCCCACATGCTATCTTGGCTCTGCCACTGCTCCCACATGCTATCTTGGCTCTGCTACTGCTCCCACATGCTATTCTGGCTCTGCCACTGCTCCCACATGCTATCTTGGCTCTGCCACTGCTCCCACATGCTATCTTGGCTCTGCCACTGCTCCAACATGCTATCTTGGCTCTGCCACTGCTCCCACATGCTATCTTGGCTCTGCCACTGCTCCCACATGCTATTCTGGCTCTGCCACTGCTCCCACATGCTATCTTGGCTCTGCCACTGCTCCCATATGCTATCTTGGTTCTGCCACTGCTCCCACATGCTATCTTGGCTCTGCCACTGCTCCCACATTCTATCTTGGCTCTGCCACTGCTCCCACATGCTATCTTGGCTCTGCCACTGCTCCCACATGCTATCTTGGCTCTGCCACTGCTCCCATATGCTATCTTGGCTCTGCCACTGCTCCCACATGCTATCTTGGCTCTGCCACTGCTCCCACATGCTATCTTGGCTCTGCCACTGCTCCCACATGCTATCTTGGCTCTGCCACTGCTCCCACATGCTATCTTGGCTCTGCCACTGCTCCCATATGCTATCTCTTGCTCTGCCACAGATCTTAAGCTGACTAAGCTTTCATTAAAATATTATCTCATACACTTGTATACTTTTTCTTTCAGGTCGTAACCTGAACAAAGCTGTTTTAGAGAAGTACATAAATGAGCTGGTTGTGTCTAGATGATGGGTCAACTACTGATATGAGCTACATATTCCCATCAAGACAGGATGTGTCTGATGGGTTTCAACAAGCTTCCTGTGGAAGGATGCACTCAACTTTTATGAGGAGAGAGGATTTTGGTTGAAAGAAATAAGTTACTATTTGTAATAGATAACATATAGGAGTAGGATAAAAGGTACATTACTATGTTGTCCTTTTGCTGAAAACTACATGACAGGAGGTGTAGATGAGAAAGGTATAAAAACACATCGAGAAAAGTATTATGTTCAATGTTTATTTGTTTGTTTTATAGATCCTAGGTGACTTTGATTAGCGGACTGTGTTTTCAGTGGAACCCACAGGGTAAAAGAAGAAGAGGAGGACCTAAACACACTTAGGGAAGAGAATTAAAGAACATATCTAGACCATACTGTGGGCAAGGCAAGCACGCATCTCACTGCCATAGTAGGACCATTGTACACTCCAGAGCAGTACTCATAACTTTTTTGGGGATGTTTTTTTCACAATGTATGAGATTGTGTTAGAATTGTACACAGAAAAGTCATTTTCAAATATAACCAAAAGATTGTGTGAGTTTTCTCTTTCTGTGTGTGTTCTTAAAAGACCAGTTAGCATATTGTGTTGCGGTTTACAGCCGGGCTTAGAAATCTGCACCTTTTGGCCCAACACATCAGCAAATCTCTATTTGGTCTTCTTCTACAACATACTTATTACATCATAAGCAGTTCAATCCAATATGGGACGTAATTTGTTGTTATTTTAAAACCTCACTCCAACTTTTGTCGGGAGCCCTAATAGAACCTAATGGTTGAATTGGGTTTCTGGAACCTGCACCTAGGTGATTCTCATCCGAATGATGGCACTTTAGATCACTGATGATTGTCACTCATTGTGGGGGGGGGGGGGGGGGGGGTGTTGAATTTCATCACATATTTATTAGGGGGGGGGGGGGAGTGAATCTATTATTCCCCCTCCCCCCCAAGAATGGGGCTCCAGAACCCACATGGGGCGTGGTTTGAGGTGTGATTAAATGAAACTCGTCCGAGTGACTTACAAATGAATGAAAAGTATTTTAGTAAGTGTGCTAATTAAGCAAAGCATTGTTTGTAGAAATCAAGGTTTTCTACGGTCACAGCAAGCTGGGCAGAAAACCTGTGCAAGAGACGCGCCACGAGATACTCGGGTCTGGAGATATGAATGAGGAACAGCCTGAGGTTGGCTCTTGGTCAGTTGCGCACCAGAGTTTGAAGAAGACTTGTGATCTAGTCGATGTAGTTTAAATGAAGTGTATTTTTCTTCTTCATGTTTACCAGCTGTAAACTCTGGTGGAAAGAAAGTTTTGGTTGTTCATCCACTTTTGGACTGCAGCCCTGTTCCAGAACCTGAGTGTTGCGTGTGCAGCTGTTTTACAGATATCTCTTTTGTATGCAGACTGTTGGTTCCTTGCCTCTCAGGCAGACTCACTCCGAGTTCTAAGGAAGCTCCCAATTAGTCAACTCTTACGACATGCTTTTGGGTAGGCAGTGGTTCTATTCTTGTTTTCTCTATAATAGGGCCCCGGAACCCACACGGGGAGAAGTGTATTTAACATATGAATTATTATTATAGCATTATTGTGGGAGTGAGCAGTGATGGTGGTGATTGAATAACTGTAGCTGAAAGTAATGAATGAATCAGGAGGAATAAACTGGCAGAATTTACATCGGAAACCGAGTGTCATTGTTAATTGTAGATAGTTTTGTTGGTTCCAACCGTGGTAGCTCTGCATGTGTGCGACAAGGTCACATGAAGTAATGACGCTAGCAAGAAGGTAAAAAGCGTAGATGGAAGCCAGAAAAGAATACAGACACAATTAAAACAGCAGCAACACATGGTCAGAAGTGATGTTGGCCATTCAGTCACTCGTCACATTGCTTCAGGAGCTGGCTGATACTAAAGGCGAAGGACTTTAACAAAAATCTCCGACTGGAATTTTTTTTTTTGGGGGTGTGTTTTGGTGATCGAGAATGTTTTCATTGCTCGTGGTCTCGAGGCATGGTGTCTCCATCGAGTGCTAGAGGTTCCGGATTCAATCCCGGTTAGGGCTGGGATTTTTTCACTTAGACTTCTAGTAATTCCCCCTGGTATCTGGGTAGTGAGATCAGATGCCCGTGTGCATTGTTGCACACGTGAAAAATCCCTTGACAGTTGGAAATAAAAAAGAGTAGCCTAAGGACACTGCCCGGAAAAATTTGGAGTTAAAAATCTACCCAAAGTGTTTCAGGATCCTCGCCGGTGCTACAAAGCTTATGTACTGTGCTGAGCTTCTTCGGACTCAGACTTGAGTTAGAAGAAGAACGGAGCACTTATGGGTTACTACCCGTGTGCCATGATGTTGATTTGTTGTTCAAACCTCAAACCTCCATTGTTTTTTCACTTTTAAGCTGCATCGGGAAGCATGATGATTGATCACCTGCAACTGTTGGCGCGATAAAGGTAACACCCTCCACTCTCTAATGCAGCAAGTGGTGCATTCTTTGTGGATAGTATTCATGAGCTGGTTAACCTTCTGTGTTCTGATTAGGGATAGAGGAAAGAAAGAAAATTAACAGTCTGTTCCATTAATCCTGTTCAAAGAATATTTATTGCAGGTAAAGCAGGCATTCAACTAAGTTCACTTATGCACCAAAACGTTGCAAGTGGGAATTGTTAAGGGCCACATGTCCAAGTCTCATTATAGCAAGATCATTAATACAATAAAATTGGCAATGATCCACAAGCCACTTGGTAGGCCTCTGCATGCCAGATTCGGCCCATAGGCCGTGAGTTAAATATTGTGGGGGAAACAAGAATAGACCCACTTCCTCCCCAACAAGCATGTCGTAAGAATCAACTTATTGGGGGCTTTCTTTCGGAGTCGAAGCGCATCTGTCTGAGAGGCAAGGAACCTACAGTCTGCATAAAAATAAGTCAGATGTGTAAAACGGATGTGCACGCAGCACTCAGGTTCTGGAACAAGTCTAGAGGTGGATGAATATCCAGAACTTTCTGCTGGAGTTTACGGCAAGTGAATGTAAAGAAGAGGAAGAGTGTAGTATGTTTTTCTTGCCTTCACTGTATCTTTAATAGCGGTTAAGAACGCTGGGCTTCGAGTCCTTTGTCAAGTCATGAATTTCTTTCTGTCAGGGGCAAAAATAAAATCTTAACAACTGCACAGTCCTTGGCGACTGCACTGGCCATACAGCCCTAAATCTTCAGGCTTAACTCTTTGAGTCCCAAGGGGTTTAGCATCACAGGCCCAAGGTGTAGAAAAGAGAGACATAAAATCGGCGCATCATACGTTCATCGGGCTTCTAGGTAGGAACCTATGAACGTATGATGCGTTTCTTGGGACTCAAAGAGTTAAAGAAACAAACACCACCCGCCTTAAAGGAGCAAATACAGGCAGTAATTGGCTATATAATTCTTCTTATCAGACTTTCTCTTGCTGCCGTATCAGACCTTTTTTATGTGTAACACCTGTGTTGGTAGTCATTATGGCTACATTCTAATGAGACGATCAAACGATTTGATTTTCTACATATTGAACATCACCTGTTAATCCGAAAAACAGAATGACGAAAGAAGTGCTAATACAAACACATATTATTAAGGCATATTTAATGTTTCTCTTCGTTACACAATATATGCAAAGACAGGAATGGTACTGAATAGTGTATTATTACAATTATAATATAATCTGTAGATTTATAGCATCGCAGTAATTCAGCATTGTTATGAAACTTTAAAATGTTTGTTTCATATGAGAGCACTAATTAACAGCTAAAAAACTGGAAGACTGGAATGTAAAAAACTTACAAAAGTAATACATTAGTTTTTAAAAAAACCAACGTAGTATATTACCTGTGATGGATGCTACAGTTTCTGGAAGACAAGGCAGAGGCAGACCTCCACAAAGGAGGACACAAGACATTGACGATGCATAGGCTATGAAAGCACATAGGGATGGAGAAAGAGAGACTTTCAGGGATGCAGCTACGAGAGCACCATTCTATAAGGGACCTGCTGACTGATGATGATAGTTATCACTTTAGATTTTCCCGCCTTACAGCAACACAGTGGCTAGATCGGGGGTGGGCAAACTATCGCCCACAGGCCAAACCTGGCCCGTCAAGCAGATTTTTTACTGGCCCACGAGGCTGGTGTAAAACTACTGTATAATCTGACCCTTGAACTCACAAAATAGCAGAACATGATTTATGCAAACTACCAGCTTGAACAGACACATTTAGGAATATATAGAAGGTCTTTAGTACGTGAGTGTGTCTGGCCAGAGGTGTAGCAAGGGATTATAATTTTTAAAATGATCTATGCAAATTACCAGAGCCAGGCTGGGAGAACGTAAATTAATTCAGCTTTCTCCTGAGTACCAGAGCTTTTGTTTTGTTTCTGGCCGTAGGCAATGGGACGCAGTTGTAGGCCTCATCATTTGTTTTATCTCTACTGTAAGCGACACTTCGTTGCGAGTACCGGCACCTTTTTTTTTAAAAGACACTTTCTGGTTACTACTGGTATCTCCCCCCCCCCCCTTTTTTTTTATCTCTACTGTAAGCGACACTTTGTATGAGTACCGGCACCTTTTTTTTAAAGAAACTTTATGGTTAGGAGCAGCACCATTTTTTAAGACACTTTGTGGCGAGTACCAGCACCTTAAAAAGATATTTTTAGACACTTTGTGGTGGGTTTCTGGAAAAATACCCTACATCGGACCAGTATCTTGTGTTCCATTTATAACAATGCAGTTGTACGAAGAAATGCCTTATGTTTAACTTTCATACCCTTTATGTACAACATACCTTTTGAGTGACACCCTGATGGCTTCTGATTTATCAACAGTGAATCTGTTTACAAATATCCGGGACTATTATCAAACATATGGATAAATTATTAGTTTCCTATGTTTCACATCAGTCATGCTAAGTATTGACTCCCAACCCCGGGAGTCACAAACAGAACGCAGCAACTACACACACGCACGCGAGAGCGCACACACAATATAAATACAATGAGGCAATATACAATGCACGGTGAAACACAAGAGAGACAAGTAGTACGTTAATGAGGAGAACAGAATACAATGATTTCGACATTAAAATACAATAGCCAGAGTAGTTAAACTTAAACTATATTAATCGATTTGTTAATAATAATAAAAAATAATTTGTAAATACACCAGTCCAAACATTATATGATAATTTTATCATTTATAAGTATGACTGTGTAATATATGTGATCGTCATTAGTTAATTTTTGGTTTCGATTTTGCAAACGCATCAACCACTTTTTGTTTCACTATCCTACAACTATACCACACTGCGGTACATTTTTAGGAATGTTCAAAAGGTTACTTGTGTGCCTTCTTCAAAACATCGCAAACTGGTCAATTTTTATCTTCAGAAGTTTGTCATTGTTCTCTGAACAGTGCGACGTTCATAATGGTGCCCACGTCAATGGCAGGCAGACAGATTAACTGGTTTCCCACTACTTGGTGGTAGATTGATGTTGTGAGGGTCCTTTGGGAGTGAGTGAACAGCGCGGAGGCACAAATAGTTCATTACGTTCTGAGGAGAATAGCGCTGCGAGGAGTTACCAGGCGATCTGGCTGATGCTCAACACTCAAGGGAAAGGCGAGACGGATATACAGTCAGTTACTGGTGCCATCGGAATTGGAGCTCTTCGCTTGCTGCTGAAGATGGGGGCGGAGCACTTATGTGAGTGTCCCGACTGCTATGATGTTGATTTCCTAATTCAACATTGTTCTATTATTCCACGATATCCTTTGCATTTTTCTCAAAAAACACTTCTCTGCCACGAGTAAACGTTTCTCAGCTGTGTTTTTCTATAAAACTTATTTAACGACACATTCTGATTGTGCTGTTAGAAGTACAGGTTTCACTGACGTTTTGATACTCAAAACTACTGATTTTACTGTCATTTCTTATAGTTAATAGCACGACGTTTTGTGTAGATAAAAGCAGTGTTTCCACTGACGTTTTGGATACATAAATCTGCTGGTTCCGCTCAGTGCAGTCATAACGCATGGACCAGTTGGGTACTGCCAAGGGGGTCCCACAAGCGAAGGTGTCCAAGCTAATCTGTGTATTTCAAGGTAAAAAGAAAAAAAAAGTAAGTAAAAGTCCCTTTTCCAGGCCTTTAGGCATATAGTGCTATACTAATATTTTTTATAGACCAATCGGCACAAGATGGGTGATGTGGTCAGCATTACGGCAGCTGCCTTTACTTCCCGGGACAGCACCCGGTACCCACTTAAGGCTGGGTCGACCTGGGAGTCAAAGTCATTTTTGAAAAAAAGTCCGGCTCCACCAGGGAGCGAACCCGCGAGTATCTCAAGTGACTCGCCATAAACAAACTGTTTATTCCTGCGAGTGGCTGGTCGTCGGGGCCACAGCACCCTGGTTTGCCCAGGGGCCCATAATGCTGCTAAGACGGTCGAAGTTCCGCTGACGTTTTGTGTACATAAAAATACTGGTTCCCATGACGTTTTGTGTGCATAGTGCTGGTTTCACTGTCATTTTGTGTACTTAAAAGTACTTGTTCCATTGACGTTTTGTGTACACAGAAGAACAGGCTCAATTGACGTTCTGTGTACATAAAAGTAGTGGTTTCACTGACGTTTTGTGTACATAAAAGTACAGGTTGCGCTGACGTTTTCTGTACATTAAAGTAATGGTTCCGCTGACGTTTTGTGTACACAGAAGTACTGGTTCCGCTGAAGTTTTGTGTACCCAGACAGCACGATACAGAAGGTGCACCCAGACATCACGATACGTATAGTGTAGTACGAGATGAAATTGTGAACATCAAAACCCTAAGCGATATATCCAACATACTAGGAAGACACTGCGTCAATTTCCACCAAAATGATCTCATACTCTCCATTATCATTGAGTACGTTCGTTTCGATGATGAAGGTGGCTTCATGGGAATAATGTCGCACGATGTTGTCATCGAGTTTTACTAGAATCCTGTGGAAATAGAAATGAAAATATTAATGTATTAGGAAACATACAATATGCAATTATATGGTCGCATATATTGGGATTAATGAAAATGGCAGCACGCAAATAAAGGACAACCGTGACAGTCGCTTGCTTGCCGTTCCGAAGATTTTGGGTTCGAATTCGCAATTTTGCGATTTAAAAAAATAAATTCATTGACCTGGGTGACCAATTCTAAAATGGGTTCCGAATAGTGACCTGGGAGGTAAAGACGGCCTCTGTGATCTTGATCCCATCACCCAAGGAATCCCTAGTGGTATATAAAAATATAGTTCTTAGATGACATCTTTCCGTCTTTACAAACCATATTGTTATACTGTTCTATGTAGCGGCATAGCCCATTGCGATGGTGAGTGTGACTGGCAAGACCCAAACTAACGAAATTTATTTTCAAAAGGTCACAAATTGGGCACGCAGAAGAAGAAGAAGAACAAGAAGAGGAAGAGGAGAAAAGAGACGAATGAAAAGCCGCCAGTCATGCAAGCTATCACACACACACGTAATATGATAACAGACGTACAAAGCACCAGACAAAAAAAGCAAGACGGCAGACAGACAGATGCAATCCACAGCGCACACAGGCAGCCCCAATCCACCAAACTGACAGACATTCAAAGTGTCATGCAGAGAAAAGAATAAACAAATTGGCAAGCCAAGAAACAGACACGCATTTGTGCAAGATACATATTGTTAAATGCACACATCTTTATTAGGCAAACATAGAGGGGATGGGGAGAGGGGGGGGGGGGGCGGAGAGGGGAGATTACGGATTCAATAACACAAAACAAGACATAGATAAAACAGAACTAAGAAGGCAACCCTCTAAAGTCTCCCACAGTTTAGGGTATTTGAGAAGACTAAACACAGATCACGTGTTAGAGAATGGCCCAAAGAACTCAAAAGAAATTGTACAAAAGAGGCGTAAAAGACCTTGACAGAATAAAAATTACATGTAGAAGAGTGTACAGGAAAAAAAAAATTCTTTACATCTTCAAAAGAAATTTTGAAAGGAACTGAGTGTAAGATTGAGAATAGATATATTATCTCTCCAAAGTATGTATGGGCAAAGAAAAAGGGATAGGAACCAAGTAGCCAGATTTTGCCAGTTAAAAAAAAAAAAAAACCATTCCGATCATTGGCGCCGTTAGCTCCCTTACAATGTGTAGACACTGTTTTTCTGCTTTTGTTTATTAAGGTTAGTTGCGTATCCTGTACAGGACGTTGCAGAACCAACCCCAACAGACCCTGGCTGTTGTGTGGTTTTTCTAGGCAAATATACGTCCAGTTGTTTGTCATTCCTTCTGGACGGTCGGCTTTATTGACACCACTGTCGAAACCAACGCAAGGCCCATAGCCTGCAGCTGGGATCGAACCCGGTATCCCGCCATTACGAAGCGTTCGCTTCGACTTCGCCACAGAGCCGACGCTTTTGTTGATACATTTTTAAATATTTCAAGTATATTATTAGATTTATTTGCCAGCACATTATTGTTATTATTATCTTAATTATTAATGCACACTAAACAAGTCTTTAGCCATTGAATGTTCTCTAAATATTATAAAGGGGCTGAGTCCATTCTCCCCCCTCCCCAATCTTTTTTCTTTGTGTCAGCGCCCCTGACTACGATAGTGACGTTTGTTTTGTCAATGAAATTTTTTTCAATGCTAGCTTGTTAGCTAGCAAGTTAATATATTAATTGATTAGAACTTCGGTTATTTGAATTACCTAGTTTTTCAGTTATTGAGTTACTTTCCTAGTTAATCAGCTTATTGGTTAATTAGCCAGAAAGTGTATTTATTAGTTGGTTGTTCATCAACGAGTGCGTCTTTTCCATTTTCTCTGTTGAACTTTCTAGTCATATTTTGTGGTATATTTAGCATCTGATGCTTTCCATAGATACCGCAACAGGTGTCGGGGGCATCCACGTGAAAGGTGCCATTGCCAAAGAGAGAAATCTAACATCCTGAAGACTTGTGGAAGGAAATGGATCCTCACGTCTGCAGACTTATTCCTGGTCGAGAACGCAGCCCGTAGTGAATGGAAGGCTCAATATACGGATATATGGTTAAGCAGCCATGTGGAGGACGTGACAATACCAAAGCGTCATGTATCGGTTTTGCATGGATGACGGGGAATGTCCATGCTCTGTCCATGGCTTGTCTTGAGGCTCGACCAAGCTGCACGGGACTGTCCTGGACTGGTCCTCGAGACAACACTTGTGGATTAGGGGGTTGGCGAAGACATAATGCATATATGGCTACAAATGTTGCACGAAACTAACCGGGAAGGCAAACTTGCCCCAAATAGTCGAATGTTTCGGCCGAAATGTGCAAACACAGCAGATATGATGTAAACAGGCACAATGCAATTACATCACTCGCACAAAATATGAAGAAGCAAATAGCTAGTTAATTAGCTAGTTTATTTGTTTTTGTAGCTAGTTAGTTGGTTAGATTATTATTTAACTAGTTACTTACTTAGCTCTTCAGACAGTTAGTCAATTTATTCGGTAGCTAATTAATTAGCTTTCTACATAGCTAGTTGATTTTTTTTAGCTAGATGTTAGCTATTTGACTAGATTGCTAGACACCTATTTAGTTGATTACTTGTAGCTAGATTTAAGCTGTTTAGCTAGACGTTAGCTATTTAAATAGACGTTAGTTATTTGGCTAGATGATAGCAATTTAGCTAGATTGCTAGACACCTAGCTAGTTAGTCACTGCTTTTGTATTTCTACCAAATATTCATAATATGTATAATGCTGTATGAGAATAGCATACTTTATATATAAAATACGATTGCTGTATAAGATTAGCATATTTTATATATAAAATACGACTGCTATATGAAAGATGAGTGGTTGGAAATGTAAAATGGCCTACGTGACCCTTTAAAATGTTATCTTAATTTGTTTATGTATTCATTCATTAATTAGTTGGCTAGGGTTAGTTAACTAGTTAGTTGGTAGGCTACCTAGCGATTAAGCCAACCAGCAAGTTGGCTAAGTTAGTTATTTAGGTAGATAGATGGTTGGCAGATCTTACTCGCGGCATTTTAAACCAACTAACAAATTAGCTCATAGATCCACTTTCAGTTGATCTCTTAGTGTCTAGTGCTGACGACGTTAAATAAACAATATTCAGAACTCAAATAATGCGGATAAAAACAATACATTGCACAATTTATTGCCAGGCATATTTCGCTGTATCTCATCAGGTGCGTTACTACAGAGTTACATCAACATAGTATCTCATCAGGTGCGTTACTACAGAGTTACATCAACATAGTAGTAACGCACCTGATGAGATACAGTGAAATATGCCTGGCAATAAATTGTGCAATGTATTGTTTGTATCCGCATTATTTGAATTCATTACGGGAAAACATTGTTTTGAATATTCAGAACTGTTTATTTAGTCTACTGGCAATAACTTTGCACACGTAACACAATAAACAGGATCTTTACTTACCCCTTCCTTGACTTCTTGTACACATGTTTGACTTTTGATGGAGCAATAGAATATTTCAGCTCGATCTGGAAACACAGAAAACATGTTTTAGCTCGAATGTATCTGCTACTGTCAGGGTACCCAAGTACTTGAACATTTCAGCTTCATTATCATCATCATATGCCCTGCCAACTGGCGTAGGCGCTCATGCGTCGCCACAGATCACGATCCCTGGTTGCCTGGAACAGCTCTCTTGATGATATCTCTCCATGCCATCATTTCAGCCCATTAAGCATCATCTCTCTTGGTCTGCCTCTACCCCTTTTCTTTCACTGATCTTTCCAGGTGTCAAGATGTTCTCAAATGTATCTCTTCTCATATGTATCAGCTTGCTTGAGGTTTTACTTGTAATTAGTGCTGCATTTTAGAGTCAGTTTTCTTTGTAAGCACTATTACTTCTGTTCACATTCGAACCTTCGTTTTGACTTTCATTTACAATTATGTGCATAATTTCTTGCAGCTGTATTTCATTCATTTTCAGCGATCAAAACTATATCGTCAGCATATTGACGGTTGTTCACAGTATGCACACTAACCCATATTCCTGGTATACAATGTATGCATATGATGACTTGTTTACTGTACAAACTGAATAATTGGGGGATAGTATACATCCCTGTCTAACGCCCTGTTTAATGTCTTGAAAAGTTCCAAACTGGTTATTAACTCTTATGGCTGGTTCTTGTTTCGAGTATATATATATATATATATAAAAATAAATACAATTCTCAGATCACTATACTTGTTTTTTAGGTATTATTCTCAAAGGAGAATATTAGTTTACATGTAAAGTGACAAACACTTGATTGAAATGCCACCCAATTCGGCATATTGTAAGTAACAATGGCAAAATACCCTTTTCACTCTTATATTGCACTGTGGAGAATATACCTGAAAGAATGGCAAAGAAAAAAGAATGGCAGACATAAAGAATAATATAGAACAATTGAGACAGAGAGAAAGAATCGTAGAGAGGAAGAATGGCACAAATAAAGAATAAAGAGTGGGGAGGGGGGGGGGGCGGGAATCTGTAGGGAGGAAACATCAGAGTCAAAAAGAATCACAGGCAGAAAAAATAAAAGAGGAAAATAAGAGTCAAAAAAGAAATAAGGACAGAAAACAAATCACGGAAAGAAAGAATCGCAAACCGAAACAAACGGACAGAACATCACAGAGAAAGCATGACATAGATAAATAATCACACGTTTAAAAAAATACACAAATATAAAGACGATAAAGTAACATGTTAGATCTAAAGAATAAACTTATAAAGATAGGGAGGGTATGGGGTTGGGGGACTTATGCTTTATTGCGGGATATAGGAAAGAAGAAGAACACGTTAGATACACCTACCAAAGGAACACATAATGAAACATAGAAAGAAGTTGAACTTACAGATCTCAACAAACCGTGGAGAGTTGGTACTTCCAACATAAGGGCTGTATATGCAGCCTCATGGCGCTCCCTGATATACAGCAGAACTGCAACAAACATCATATTCAATTAACAGTTAAGCTGTTAGTGCATGTACGAGGGGGCTTCAAATGGCAGTCTTCAAATTACAAGTAATACAAGTATCACGTAGATAATGTCATGCTTAGACCCAGGATAGGTCTGACAGCACAATAGATACTAGCAGCCGCTGATGAGCTACTACTACTTTTCCTTCTCTGTCAAAGGCTTGTGTTAAGCGTCATTAACTATATGTTATGGCCCTCCTCACTGTCAGCAGAACCGAGCTAGAAAGACTTGACCGAGTACAAAATGAGGCCAGGAGACTCATTCTCGGCTGCACAAAAGACACCTCCTGCCACTCCATGCGTTTTGTCCAGGGTTTGCCGACGATGATTAACAGACACAAAGTTGCACAGGTCAATGCGTACACGATGGTATCTGAAGACGTTAACCGCCCACTACACAAAGCTATACACGACACAAAAGAAATGCGTCTCAAACGAAGCCATACCTGGATGGCCAAGGCTGAAGATTTAACCCAGCAGGTACATGACCAAGACGAGATCAGTCACGGAAAATAATCAATGAAAACATCAGTAGACATGCATGGCATCTCTAAGGCTGTCACCATACCCAGGAAGCACTGCAGGGATCAGATTCATGCGGCCCTCGACACTCATAGATCAGCATTCACACCCAGAAGACATCATCATCTACACAGATAGATCTATGAAGCGCGGGTCAAGGTCAGCACGGGCATACATAGTACAAAGGAGGGGGAAAAAAACAATAAAAGAGGACATCGGCGCTTACTAGGCAACTACGTCGAGCATCACCATGGAGATAGCCGCTGCTTCAAGAACACTAGCATGGGCAGCAGAGCAAAAAGCCACAGATGCAGTAATTGTATCAGACTCCATGAACATGCTTCAGAAAAAAAGCAAACACCGGTATGCGGTATATACTTTCTTACTGTCACAATGTACAGTTTTCTCTTTCTCATCACAGGACCAAAGAATGTAGATTGTCTTTTTCTGATGTGAACAATCACTTTTCTTCCTGAGTCAGTTTCTTTCAATACGTCTTCAAAAACATTTGTATCTGTCGAAGGTATTATCATCATTAAACTGTAAAACCACTCTCCACATTAGGAATCGAATCGTATATTTTGAAATTACGAAGTGCTTACGAAATGCCTAACCCAGTAACCGTTGTATATGATACCATGTAGTGATACTCTACTTTGCGCCTCTTTTGGGCTCCTGTAAAAGAAGTTTTGGTTGGTAAACTTACCTTTTTGTTGGTCTTTGAGATTACAGCCAGAATCCCTCCTCGGTCTCTTTACAGGGCTACTCACGTAGTAGTCATCGCAGGAGTCCGGAAGTTCGAGTTTGTTTGGCAGACTGCAAAAATACATGCTAATGAATAAACGCACCCATACTGGACTGATAGGTCACTTCGTAAACCGTTTTGTGGTGCCACTAAATAACTGGGCTAAATGGCTATACAGTTGAAAGGGGGTTTCTGGGATTTGTAGCTGTGTGATTCTCATCCTTGAGATGTTTTTCCTACAGACTACAATCTTGGGCAGGAACAACTTAAAAAAAAAAGATGACAAAGAGATTCTGGTTATTTCTATAGAAAATACAGGGCTATTAAAAAAAAAGATTCTAGAGAAATACTGGTTATCTCTTTTGAAAATACAGGGCTATAAAAGAAAGATGCCAGAGAGATACTGGTAATCTCTTTTGAAAATACAAGGCTGTAAAAAAAGAAAACAAATAGGTGCCTGTACTCAACACAAAGTGTCTAATACAATTGTACTGATAAAAAGATGCACAAAAAGAGGTACTGGCACTGAGCACCGCAAGAAAAACAAATTCACAAAATAAATAGTTCTAAAAACATACTGAGTTAACGTCTTGTCAAAGTTTAACATTTTTCATCTGGTAACGGACTTTAGTGTCTGCATACATCATCTTTTCTCTCCTTATCCGAAAAGGCAAGATGTCCTAGTGTGTCCCACGGAGACTGTTTGCGTGTGTTGACTATTTAACATGAACAACTAAAAAATACGGAAAAAAAAAGACAAGGAGAAGTCAGAAATATGAGAGGGATAAGATAATAATAAGACATAAATACAACAGGGAAACGACACAAATAATACGTATATAAGGCACATGAGGCAGAGATAAGGCGTTAATGAGACAGAAAAAAAGACGTACAAGAGAAATAAGATGTGAAGACAAGAATAAAATTGATCCAAGACAGGAGAAAGACAGAGATAAGACAGAAATAAGAGACCAGACAGAGATAAGAGATGAGACAGAGATAAGAGATAAGAGAGAGAGAGAGAGAAAGAAAGAAAGAGAGAGAGAGGGAGAGAGAGAGAGAGAGAGAGAGAGAGAGATAAGATACATAAAAGATCAGACAGAGATAGGACACTTTCCATGACTTACCTAGACACCTCCTCCTCTATGGGCGGTACCACACCTAAAGTTAATGACTGGAACAGATAAATACAAATTTAAAAAGAAAATGCACAGTTCATTGCTTATCTCAATTATACAAGGTGTTCGAAAGGTAAATATACACATACTGTCTACACGATAGAAAATTAAATATACTCGCACACATCTACACGGGCTTCCATAAAGTTCCATACATAGGAAAGTTGATACTGTTGTGAAAATACAGTTGTGTAATGACACACATTATCTACATGCTAGAGAAGGAACTACACACCCTCTTCTTTGAGCCCATGCCGCGTGCCGCTGGTAGTTATGTTCATGCACAGCCTTCTGCAGGGGAGCCGTAACCTGTGGGGCTCATGTACTTACCCCCCCCCCCCCAATCTCCCAACTCTAACTTTGGGGATTGAGCAAAGTCCCCTTAGAAAATTTGCAAGATAGCCAAGTGGGCATTCTGGACATCTTGTAATTAGTAAGTTACAAACATACTGTAAAAACATCAAATGCATATGAAACAAATAAATATTATAAATGTAATATAATACCCTTTGGTGTTAAGAACTTTTAAAACACCCACTCAGAAGTATAACTTTATTATCAGGGAAGAATTTATGGGCAAAGATATGCAGGTGTAAACGAAAGTGAATAAGCTGATAGACTTGCAGGTAAGGCTATTGTGGAGGGCGGACTAGCTAATCGGCCAGTCTGACATACTGAATGATCTATGAGACTAAGACTTTTGCGAGGTCCAAGTGATGGCTTTGAATCTGCAACAGTAATCATACTACAAGAACAGCAAGTTAAAAGGAGTGAGGTCAGAAAAGAGCTATACCCGAAGTCAAAGAAGAAGTACAAACCAATACACAACTGATGTCGTCGACTTTGAGTTTTACTGAGGAGGGGATCCGAGTACTTGTGGACAGTACGATGAGCAAACTCACTCGACTAACCAACTAACCAACCAACCAACTAACTAACCAGGCAACTAACTAGATAACTATCTAACTGACAGACAGACTAACCAACCAGCCAGTTTAGTCACTCACCCACTTTTTCCCTCACTTATTTACTAATGTTAGTTAGTTGCATGGCGATTACCCTCATTGTAGATGGAATCATTCATTCCATAAATGCTCGGATCCCCTGCTCAGTAAATCCACCATCGTGTAGCGACTGATGACATCAGATGGTTTATTCATCTTCTTTGTCTTCCTGCAAAGTGCTCTTGTCTGGCCCCGCCCCTTTGAGCTTGCAGATTTTGCAATCTGATTAACGTTGCAGATGCGCAGTCATTTTGTTCTCGCAAAAGACTTACCTCTTGTAGATCAATCAAAAAATCAATAAAAATAAATCAGCCTGGTACTGACTAACTGTCGGCGTCTGTTGCTTAGGCGTTGCGAACTCCTTCGTAATGCCGTGGTGCTGGGCTCGATCCTAGCTGCGGGCTTTGCGCCTTGTGTTGGTCTCGACAATGGTACCGAGATGCCGACCGTCCAAGGGCAATGGCAAACTACTGGACGCATATGTGCCTAGAAAAACCACAACAGCCAAAAAAAAAGATGGGATTGGTTCTGCGACGTCCTGTAAAGGATACGCAATTTAACTTAGCTGACTAACAAACCACTAACCCACTAACTGCTCTGCTGTTCATGCAGAGCATACATTACCTCACAGCGCTCTTTGTGGTTTACGGTAACCGTGACGTTGATCTTTCATTCATCGCTGTTTGGACTCTTCTGGGTCACAGGGGTGTGCGAGTCTATTCCGCGGGACATTTGTCTGTATCGAGCGAACTGCTACTTGACATATTGAAAAGTTGCCTGGCTGGCTGCGACAGTTTACTCCCGCCCTCTTCACTCGCAACATCGCACATCACCGGTAGTGTCCCCAAAATAATCTAGAATCAGCTCACACCCCTCTGCCCCAGAGCAGTCCAATGATTTCTGAATGAAACGGCGCGCAATGCGTAAGCTAATTTAAACGTCACGGTCACCGTGAACAGCACCGCTCACTTTAACATCTAGGAATCAATCTCACCTTGTGGATGAATTCACTGTTCTCGTGAAGAGGGTTGAAAAACACTGGAGCTGTTGTGGTATTAGCCATGGAGTAGAACTCTGACCTTTCGCATGGTTCATGGAAGGCGTCCTCCACCTTCTTTCGACCTGTACAAACACATGATGATGTTAGCAACCAGATTCTTCTCAAACATGTGGACACAAGATTTTTTTTAAATGTTTGATCATGTAGATCGTAGGTGCGTGTTTACATTTCGAGCGCCCTGTAGGATTTTATATACATTCGTCTTCTTCATATTCAGCGGTTGTAAACTCCAGCCGAAAGTTCTGGTTGTTATTCCACTTTTGGACTTTAATGTGTTGTTCTAGGATTTGAGTTTTGCGCGTAGATCCATTCTACTGACTGGGATTGCCTTATACTGTTATGCTCATTCTTGTGTCTGTAAAAATCACACATAATGCCCATCGCTGTCCAACTGGAAAAGCCAGAAAGCACTGAATTCAACGGCTCGCACAAGTATCAAAGGGCAGCAGAGATGCCAACACATACAGTACCTCATTATAACAGCTATTTATGGTTTATCGTAATAGCAGTCATGACAAACCAAGTGTGCACATTACTGGATTCCAGGTCACTGTGGCTTGGAAGGCAATGAAATAGCGGACAGATTAGCCAGAAGCGGCAGTGACATGGTACAACCAAATAGCGACTTAACCCACCAAGAGATGTAAACACTAATACAATCTAGTATCCAAGAAAGGTGGCTGGATACCCACACCAGAATTTCTCCCCAAGACTCACTTCATCGCCTCTCTAGAGAGGGACAGTCTATTATATTCAGACTAAGGACAGGGCACAACAGATTTCGTCAACATGTGTTCAAATTTTTCGGTGTAGGAAATACGGAGACGTGTCCCTGCAGCGAGGCACCCGAAAATGCTGAGCATGTGCTCCAACACTGTCAACTGTATGCTGACAACAGAGACGCAATCTGGCCTGTTCCAACCACAATAAAGACAAAACTGTATGGTACACAAGAGGATATGGATTGCACGATAGCTTTCATAAAGGCTACCTGCCTCCTGATATAAGTTTTCTGACAGAAGGGTCGAAGAAGAAGAAGAAGACTGAACAAGGCACACCGCCAGTTCTGTGATAAAAAGCCACTCGTCGTTTTCTGAATATGTAGTTTACAAGACACATCTCAAGGAGCATGTCGTTAACAATAAATGCTTACTTTTAACGCTGACTGGAACATTATTGAACTCCTCTGGTTTTCCTTTGGCTGCTTTTCGTCTTTCCTCATCTCTAGTTTTTCGTTCTGCTCCCTGAAGAAATCAAATGAACTTATTTAGTACCCAGGAATTCACTATTGGTTTGTTGACTGGTATTTACATTGCACATTTTTAAAATAATGTGGACACAAACGAAACAATTCGTAATTCAATGCTTGGCATACTTTCACAATTCATTGTCTAGTATACTACTTTGTATCTTATCATTACTACACTTTGCATCAACACAATGAACCAGAAACTATGAATCCTTCTCACTTGAATACACACATCTCATTGTCTTTTGTTATACTGTAGATCTCACAGTGGAATATTTACGACATGATCCTTTTGTTTACACAATACAACACTGTATGTCTTAATTGCCACCGCTTAGAAAGGGAATTAAATATTATGACAGCATCACTAATGTAGAGCTTTGGGAAAGAACTAAGCAAGTTTCAATGGACCAAGAGGTGGAGAATAGTCGCTGGCGTTGGATTGGACCCACATTGAGAAAAGCGGAGAACAATATAACTAGAATGCCTTTGCACTGAAACCCACAGGGGCATAGGAATAAAGGAAGGCCCAGTAAAAAGGGGAGGGCGTGGTGAGAGCTGCATGCGATAACAAAGAATAGAACGGCTTGCCGTGAGTTGGTTGAAGGGTCAATGCTCCATGGGGAGGGAGGGGGGGGGAAGGGTGGGTGGGGTGGGGTGTGTTAGAAAAGCAGAAGGAGAAGAGAGACGCTGAGAATGATCAGCTAATGAAAAATACAATTCTGACCTTGTCACAGAAAGCCTTTATTTGGCAGTAGCCTCGGTGAACGAGTTGATTCTCTTTGGGACTTTGTTCGTAAGTGTCGATCTGGATGTGCAGGGGGATACCTTTCACGCCTTTCTGGTTACTGAAGTCTGTGCTTAAACAATGCACAGCGATGTTGACCTGTGGACAAAACGTAAACATTGTGATAACTGTGTTTTTTAAACTTATATGTGTATATATATATATATATATATATATATATATATATATATATATATATATATATATATATATATATATATATATATTTGTAAATGTGTAAAGAAAGGGATGTCTTTGTGACAAAAATAGAAAAGCCGTTTAAATTGCGTTTTAAAAGCCAGGGCTTTGTTTCTCGGATCGATTCTTTCAGTTCACGAGTGCTGTTGTTACGAAGATCCTCTGGAATGGTGGCTGGAGTTACGGAGCTTATGATTTGTGCGATGCCTTTTGTTTTTGTTGTTGTTTTGTTGTTGTTGTTGTTGTTGCTGTTATGGTTTTACTTATATTTTACGCTCTGTAGTTTATAATGGCCTCCCAAACAGTCAGCTCTTGATACCACTGCTAAAAAAGTCACAACAGAAATTAAATGTGTACGTACTATGCTAGATGTAACGAGGAAAGATAGACTAGGAACGATGATTTCAAGAGGAGAGTGACTACAGAACCAATTCTGAACTTTACAGGTAAACAACAAATCAAATGGTTTGGCCATGTAACAAGACTGGCAGCAGACAGAGAACCACAAAGAGCAATGTTTTACAGATACAACGATAACAGAGCCAGCGGTCAACCACGCACAAGATGGGAGACCTAGAAGAAGATGAACTGAAGGAGTTACCAACAGAATAACACTTCACAACATCACAGCTTACCAAGCAACAGAGAGCACCCTGGTTTGGCTATCTATACCTGTTAACTGCTACGCCTAGTGGTACAAAGCAGATATTGGCAAAACAGAAGTTCTTAAAACTTTCAGGGGTGGGAACTATCCATTGATCAGTTAGGTGTCGACTCCACAATTATTCTACTTTCCACTGATGACATGCGTGTCACTTATCACCGACCCCTACTAAAAGAGGCTTACAGACGCTTCATAATAACACAGCACACACAAACACACACACAATTACACTCACACCTACACACACACAGAGAGAGAAAGAGAGAGAGTTGTTGTTATCGATCCAGCGGCGCATGAGCTTTCGCCCTTTGGCCCAATGCCATGTAGTGGAATTTGCATGTTTTCACAAGCTGTTCTTTTCCTCCGTACAAGGTGTTCCACTTGTCTGGTCTCGGAGGGAGTAGCGTTCTTCTTGTCTCTCACTGAGTTTTGGGCACTCAAAGAGATGGTGTTCAACAGTTTCGTAGGGGTAGTTACATAGCTGGCACTCTGGGGAGTGTTGTGGCTGTATTCTGTTTAGATGTCAATTGAGTGGAGTATTTTGCGTTCTAAGTCTGAAGATGGTGGCCTGGTCCCTTCTTGTTAGATGGTTAATGCTGTCATTAGGATCAGGGCCAGACATATTTCTATGAACCTCTCTTCCAGTGTCCCCCATAGCCCATCTGTTCAACTAAGTCTCTTTGTTTATAGCTCTTATAAGTGTTTTTGCTCTCAGAAAGAGAGAGAGAGAGAAAGAGAGAGAGAGAGAGAGAGAGAGAGAGAGAGAGAGAGAGAGAGAGAGAGAGAGAGAGACCGACCAAAAACTTATATTAAGCACTTATTGCCTACCCTGACAGGCCCGTCACTGGGATTCCATTTGACAGCAACAGCGTTGAAAGCCAGTTCTTCTATGTTCTGTGGCGACACACCTTGGCAGTTTTTTGTATCTTGGAAGGCAATTACAAAACACGTATTTTGCGGTCAGTTTTATTTATGCATTGGTTCTAACCTGTCTTAATGACAATACAGTTGAGTTGTATACATTATATTTAAAGACTGATGCTTGGCACTTTTCAGCCTTTCCAGGCGATAGTGTTATATTACGCTATGAGGAGGCATAGAAATCAGACCCCATGGCGATGGCGAGTGTGACTTGCAAGACCCGCTCGGGTTAAGAAAAGTCTTCCACAATTATAGCATAGGGTTTCATAACCGTGTTGTCAGTTTTTGTCTTTAATCTGTTTCCTCTTAGACGACCAGCTCTCGTCCTTTCTGCAATGATTTCTTCCTTTATTCTCCTTCCCTTTCCGTGTGCCCCCTCCACACAACACGGTACATGGCATCTTATTCCCACGAGTTCACTTCACTACATGTATCATTCATGTCCCGCTTACACACATCTTTATATCGCAGTAGAGGGTGGCCTCGACATCGTCTACCCGTCTTTAGTTTCCATAAGGACATCCTCCATTTTTCAGGTGTGACCCAGCCTGATGAGCCTTCGTATACTGAGCATTGAGAAGATGTTGTATAATACCTGCCCTTTCCAGTTATATTTAAAGCATATTCGTCTACCCCACTACTGTCACAGGGGACTGGAACACTTATGAAATGAAGATACTTCGGAAATTCCCTAGGGTCGTCGCTGGATTAACAAAATGTGTTGCTTTGTAAAACGTTTTCATAAAGCGAGAAACCATTCTCCAGAGAGTGATCGAACCATATACCAGGTAGAGCCTTCTTTCCGTTCTCTTCTTCGAGCTGCTACCGAAAGGTTTCACACCATGAGATTTAAAAATCGCAATCTGGGTGGCAGACCAACAAAACTAATCCCCGAGCTCCGATCAACCTAAAAAAAATGTAATTAATTAATTAATTAAAATTATAATTTGAGCACCTTTAATAGCTAATCTAGTCTGCTGTAATATGCAGTCCTGTGTGGGTACGGACTGTGTGTGGACAATCCAGTCGAATTCTTTTATTTAAATGTATCGTTTATTTAAATAACGTTTATATAATCAAGCAATAAAGAACTAGAAAAGTAAATGCACCTTCTAGTCTGCTAAAAACCTATGCGACTAACGACCATCTGCACTTACGATAAAAAATAGCTAAAGAAATAAAAAATAGTAAATAAAGAAAGATAACCACAATGGTAAAGTCAAAATGTTTCGGAAATGATGTAATAGAGTTTGTGGAAGACTTTTCTTAACGCGAGCGGGTCTTGCTAGTCACACTCGCCATCGCCATAGGTTGTGAGTCTCATACCTCCTCAAAGCACTATACGGCGATGCAGGCTGGAAAGACGGAAAGGTGCCAACAGCGACAATAAAAGAGCACACACAGACTGAATGTTTGTGTTTTATGTACAATTGTAATAACTTGTCTGAATGAAAATAATGTTGATCAAAATAAATTCGACTTGCGACCAGTTAAGTTGGAACGGACCTCCGTCTTAAGTCGAGGAGACCATGTTAACTAATAAGTAACACAGAATGAGTATATTTAACAAACCATCGCGAAGTTCAAGCTGTGAAATCTGTATAATAAGTCTACGTTAAAATGTAGGCAGTACCTATGTCTAGGATTCTTTGCTTGTAACTGTGTTGTCTCCCATGCCAAAATTCCCAGGCTTTTCGCTCGTCCTCCATTGGCTTCTCTTCTCTGAATGCCAGAATTATCACAGACTGAAATAACAACGTCATAATTATCACAGACTGAAATTACAAAGCCAGAATTATTACTTAATAGAATATAAATGATAGAATTATCACAGACTGAAACAACAATGCCAGAATTATCACAGACTGAAACAACAACGCCAGAATTATCACTGACTGAAATTACAAGGCCAGAATTATCACTGACTAAAATATAAATGATAGAATTATCACGGACTGAAAAAAATGCCAGAATAATCGCAGATTAAACAAAAAATCATAGAGTTAGCAAGGACTAAAACTACAAAGCCAGAATTATTACATATTTAGACAATAATCGCAGTATAATCACAGACTGAAATAAAAATGCCAACATATTCGCAAACTGAAATATAAATGCCAGAATTATCACAGACTGAACCAACGATACCATTATTATCACAGACTGATACAATTATATCATAGTTAGGACAGACTGAAGCAACAAAGCCAGAATTATCACAGATTTTTAGAAAAATCCCAGAATTAGCAAGGACAAACCACAAAACCAGAATTATCACAGCCTGAAATAACAAAGCCGTAATTATCAAGGACTGAAATAAAAAGACAATTATCACATATTGAGACAACAATCTCAGAATTATCACAGACTGAAACAACAATGCCGGAATTATCACAGACTGAAACAACAATGCCGGAATTATCACAGACTGAAACAACAATGCCAGAATATTTACAGACTGAAGTTTAAATGCCAGAATTATCACAGACTGAAACAACAATGCCAGAATTATCACATACTGAAACAGCAATGCTAAAATCATCACAAACAGTAAGGTCATAATTATCACAGACTGAAACAACAAAGTTATAATTATCACAGACTAAAATGACAGTGCCAAAATTATCAGAGATTGAGTGAATAATTCCAGAATTATCAGAGACTGAAGCAACAATGCCAGACATGAACACTGACGTGATCCGTGATTCTGCTTATCGTTTAAGATGATGAAACACGACAGCAACGCTTATAGGCACGTCATGTGATAATAATAACGAGTTTGCTATTGTTTTCTCAATAATTTTGCTATCTTTGTTGAAACCAGCCAAAGCGGTCTGCTTCCAAATATCCTGCAGCTAAATCGAACCAATCCAGGATAATGCAGTTATGAAACAGCCTTCGTAACTCATAAACTACAGAGGCTGACTGATGTAGACAGTGGATATTAAAGACAACCTGGGCATGACATTTTATGATTCATCTGTGTTCATCTGGGTAAAGAATCGACATCATGACATTCAGGACAAGCATATATTAGCTCCGTTTTCCGCCGCAGCAGACAGCGAAGTGTATACATCCAGACTACACGTCTTGCCTTTCCTCCACCTAGTCTCATATGGCGCCCAGAGCCCGCAGAAAGTCCCCGCTGCATCATTCTCTTCAGACACTGGTTTTCAGTATCTTACATTTTACTCGTTACATCGTCCCACAGCCGAGAGATCACATCTGTCTGGTGCAGTTGCAGTACACCCCAAAAGGGCCCAGTCCAGCCAAGTCATCTGCCTGCTTATTCCCAGATACGTCTATATTCTTCTTTTTCAGCATTCCGAGCCCTTGAGGTTCATAGCTGCAGATATCACCAGCCTCCATTTATCTCTCTGGTTGGCCTTTTCTTTCCAGTTGGGGACACCAAATGCTTGCAGGTCTGATTGGATATTATCTCTCCATCGTCTTCTTGGTCTGCCTCGTGGTCTACGACCATTCATCTCCCTGGTGTACACAGTTTTTACTTCTTTGTCATCTGACATTCTTTCAATATGCCTCAACCATTTCAGTCTATATGGCCCAAGAAAAAGATATTTACGTGACCGTCACAATCTGCGACCAATGAATTGATGCGATCTGTTCCATAAGAGCAAAACCTGACTTCACCTTCCTGAGAATGATTCGCGATTCAGGGTAATAAATCAAGAATTTTATCAGCATACTTTTACAACAGCAGTGTTCTTGAGGAATAAATTTGGTACATTAAAAGCTAACAGATGGATCCAGAAGCCTTGGTTTTACAGGTTTGAGGTTTTTGAGGTTTGAAAAACGAATCAACATCATGGCACATGTGTAGTAACCCATAAGTGCTCCGTTCTTCTTCGAACTCAAGTCTGAGTACGAAGAAGCTCAGCACAGTGCACAGGCTCTGTAGCACAGGTGGGGATCATGAAATACTTTAGGTAGATTTTTAACTCCCTTTTTTGCTCAGGCAACGCCGTTAGGTTACTCTTTTTAATTTCCATCTGCCAAGGGATTTTTGTACGTGCGCAACAATGCACACGGGCGTCCGATCTCACTACCCAGAGACCAGGCGGAATTACTAGAAGTCCAAGTTCACGTGAAAAAAAATCACAGCCCTTACAAGGGATTGAACCCGGAACCTCTAGCACTCGAAGTGGACACCATGCCTCGAGACCACGCAGCCCCCCCCCCTCCTTCATATTACACCACAGTAGCAGAAGAACGAAAGAACGAAAGAACGAACGAACTTTATTTCCAAACGATCACACAGTGTGAATGCAAGCTTGTCTAATATTAAGAATTTTTTAACAGTTATAATTCATACAGCAATTGTATTTTATAAATGAAGCTTTATCTTCACATACCAAAATTCTACTATAAATTTTAAATAAAAATTACAAAAGCATGGGTGGCATATGCATTTATTCAAATAACATACAAAAGTAAACACACACGTGACATAGACACACGTTAAACAAATATGAAACTGTACGAAGTCAACACGAAGGCACTGTCCAAACTTCATTCCTTAATCTGTTTGGGGGGGGGGGGGGGGAAGGCAGTAGACAAAAAAAAAAGTGTGTGTGTGGGGGGGGGGGGGGGGGGGGTTTGGCAAAGATAAAAAGATAGCAAGACAGAGATAATGGTGACAAGAAGCGAGAAAGACAATTTAGAAATAAAATTTAAAAAACAACGCCTTAAGACAAATAGAGGAATTTAAGTATTTGGTAGCAATTTTCACATCTGATGGAAAACTGGACAGAGAAATTAGCGCGAGATGTACCAAATCTAATCAAGTATTGGAGAAACTATCTCCCCTGTTGACACACAAGCAGATACCCTGGAGTACTAAAATGAATCTTATTAGAACTAATTCTTGGGCAACGTTATGCTACCAGTGTCAAACGTGGACACTTACATCCTCTAATAGACGTAAAATTGTGACAAAAAAGATGAAATGCCTTAGAAGAGCTGCAGGAGTTTCAAGGAAATACAGAATACGAAATCAGGAAATCAGACGTATGCTGAGAATAAAGCCAGCCTTACAGATCATCAAAGGACAGCAAATGAAGTGGTTTGGACACCTAACAAGAATGCCCTGGTACTATCCCCCACAGCGAGCAACACTGAAACGTTATAACGGGTATAGAGGGAAGAGAAGACCTCGGAAAATATGGAGTGATGGCATTAAGAACAGCCTTACAGAAATGAACATCAATCGTAATAGTGCTCTTGACAGAGCTCATCAACGAATGTTAATCTGCTCTCGACACTTCGCTGAGGTGGTACAAGGTGAAAGAGGAGAAGAAGAAGAAGAAGAAGAAGAAGAAGAAGAAGAAGAAGAAGAAGAAGAAGAAGAAGAAGAAGAAGAAGAAGAAGAAGAAGAAGAAGAAGAAGAAGAAGAAGAAGAAGAAGAAGAAGCAAATTGAAACAAACAAAGAAGTCTGTATGTTTAACCTAAAGAATTGTCAAAATAAAAGAGAATGTATTACCTTAACAACAGCACATTTGATAATACGTTCCTGATTGTTGAACTCGAGACTGAGACCGTAATACTGACCTGCGGAGAAGCAGAGATTAATCATTACACATAAAGCACCCTTTTGCACGTCATTAGACTTTCTGTGCATATAGTGTTAGACCTAGGGGGCTTCGTGGTCTCGAAGCATGGTATCTTCCTTGCGTGCGTGGGGTTCAGGGTTCAATCCCCGGTAAGAGCTGGGATTCTTTCACGTGGAGTTAGACTTCTATTAATTGTCCCTGGTCTCTGGGTAGTGAGATCGGACGCCCGTGTGCATTGTTGCGCAGGTAAAACAATCCCTTGGCAGTTGGAAATCGAAGAGTAGCCTAACAGCGCTGCCCAGGCAAAATTCTGAGTCAAAAATCAACCCCAAAGAATTTCAGGATGCTCACCGGTGCTACAGAGCCTGTGCACTATGCTGAGCTTCTTCGGACTCTACTTGAGTTAGAAGAAGAACGGATCACTAATCGGTTACACCCGTGTGCCATGAGGTTGATCCATTGTTCGAAACTTCAAACTTCAAACAGTGTTAAACCTGTAATTTATAGACCAAGCGCCACTCGGTGCATGATCTGATCAACACACACACCGACCAGATTTACTTCCCGGGACTCTACCTGATACCCATTGATAGCCAAATCGAGTGCAGGTGACATTGTACTGTCATGCTGGAATTATTCAAATGCGTTCATAACCCGTAAGCCACAGACACTGACTGGGTCTTCCTTCGATTTTTATCAATTTAGAACAGTGGTAACCAACCTTTTCAGGTGGCGCCCCTCCACCCCATTTTGAAACACGACCAAGACCTCTACGCCCCCTCCCCCCCCCCCCAGCCACCAATAATAAAATATGATTTTTTTTAAAGAGAAAGAGAGAGGAATGTGTTTTTAGTCTATAATCAAATGCATGTGTTATTATATCAATTAGACTTTTAGCGGTAGATGTACAGACAGCTCATTTAGACAAAAACGTCAGTGTTGTTTGTTTTATAATTTTGAATTTTAAATAGTTAGACTGATTTATTTATATATATATATTTTTTTCAGCATAAGGGATTATTACAAGTAGAAACGCACCACCACTCACTTTTTAAATTGCTTGCGCTCCCCCCCCCCACCCACCCCCAAATCAGATACCCCCCCCCCCTCGCCGAATTTCATCATGCCCCTAAGTTGCAGACCATTGGTTTAGAGCCTCACTTTCCGTAAATCTGTCCCCTTAACACAGGTTAAAAAGTAAAGGTCCTTTTTCAACGCCTTTAGGCGTGTGGGAAATATAGGGCTAGACCTATATTTTTTATCATAAGATGCTAAGTCACAATTTTGAGAAACACTGTTCTATTAATGTATCTCACACTGACAGTTTAAGACACATCTATATGGCATATACCAACATACAACTTACTTTTGTTAAGACACATCTATATAACATAGACAGACATTAGATTAGTTGCGTATCCTTTACAGGACGTTGCAGAACCAACCCAAACAGCCCCTGGCTGTTGTGTGGTTTTTCTAGGCAAATTTACGTCCAGTAGTTTGCCATTTCTTTTTGGACGGTCGGTTTTCTTGATACCACTGTCGAAACCAACGCAAGGCGCATGGCCCACAGCTGGGATTGATCCCGGCATCCCGTCATTACGAAGCGTTCGCATCGACTTAGCCACAGAGCCGACTTATAGAAAGACTTACTTTTGTTAAGACACATCTATATGACATAGACAGACATATAACATACTTTTGTTAAGATATGTGACCCTGTCTTCGTGTCTTCTTTGTGTGGTTGAGATCGGCGTCTCCAGGAAATAACTGTATCCAGTATTGTTTACCTCTCTGCAGAAAACAGCATGACTTTAGTTGTTGTTTGTAAAATATCTCTATGTCAGAGCACAGCGTGTATTTAGTCGTCATTTGTAAAATATGTGTGTCGTCTACTCTAAGTTCTCTTTGTTCTGTGTTTACGGAACATACATTTGTGTTAAATTTAGCGTCTTTGACCTAGGTTTCGAGTTCAACGGCTGTAAACTCCAGCGGAAAGTTTTTATTTTTTTATTTTTTACTTTTGGACTAAGTCTAGTTCCAAAACTCCAGTTTTCCTTGAACATCAATTTTAAAGTTCTGGATACTTTCCGTCCCCAAGTGGGACGAATTTTTGGTTATTTTGATGCCTCACCCTGTTGTTGTTGCCGGGGTCCTTATATAACCTAAGGGTTAAACGGGGTTTTTAGGACCTCTCCACGGGTGATCTTCATCTAAATGGTGGCCCTGTGTGTCACCGGGTGTTTATCGCTCCGTGTGATGTCCTGACGGGGTTGAACTTCAAATAATTGTTGGTTTTACTCTTCTCAGGCAGATGCACTCCCATTTCAAAGGAAGCACCTACAATTAGTATACTTTTACGACATGCTTGTTAGGGAGACAGTGGGTCTATTCTTCCTCCCCCAACCCATAAAAGGTCTCCAGAACCCACTTGGGGAGCTTCTTCAGCGATACATCAGGTACCGCATCTGGAGAAAACATAGACGACCTGACCAACATCTGTCTGTTACTTGAAATTGTAGTGAAATTGGAATATTACTTTTTTTTTTCAGGGGGAGGTACCAATATACACCAAAAAGTACCAATTAATTTATTTTTCAAATTAAAAAAATAATAACTATTTGAAAGTCGTGCTGTCTGGGTGAGCACCGGCTTTAAAATTGAAAAAAAGGCGCACTTTATCAGCAGCGTCAAATCGGCACATTTGCAGAAACAATTTCATCACAGGTGCCTTCAGTACACCCCCAAACATTTTTAGGATTAAAAAGGCCCACATTTAAAATTTTAATGCAATTGTTTAAAACGTTCAACATACGAAAGTACCAACTTCGACAGCTCTGCTTTGGTGTTTGCTTTATTATCTGTAAACGATATTCATAAAATTCTTCTGAAAAATCATCTCCCACGCTTGGAGTGTTTTCAACACAATTATAGTCCAAAAACACCGTGCGACGTTTGATTACTAGCTGCTTGCTTGTTTGCAGTTTGTTCTCTCCAGGAATGTAGGCCGCATGATTAACACCTAAAGGACGAGAATTCTACTTCTATTAACCATGTATGCCGATTTGAACCGTAAGGTTATAAAGAGGCCCTAGGCAGGAATATGGGTTGCTCTGTGTTGCACTATCTGGTGGTTTTCTTGACACATGTCTGAAACATTTGATCTGTTGTCTCTTGATGTAGTTTAGTGCTGGTCCCGTCCCAACCCCTTTCCCTACATTATCATTTTTCATCTTGTCTCTGCTAGTTACAGCTGGGTTTCGTCGTAGATACTTTATCTATGTGGTTTTAGTTGTGTTGTTTATTTTGGCACTGGATTACAATGGTAGTAAAAAATACTGCACGGAACAGTGCTCTTTTCTGGTATCAATTTGTGGTGAAAACAGGGATGACTGCTGCCTCTGCGAAACCTCGATTTGTGTAGTTTTGTGCACGTTGTTGTGCTTCTCCATCAAATTAAGCTTTATTATGACACCTTGGTGGTTGAAGTACTCTCCTCTTCGTTACTGTTGTGTAGTTTGATGTGTGCCGAGAAAGGCCCCGGCTGAAACGTGGTTTTGTGTTTTGTGCACGTTGGTCTGCTTCCCTATCCCGTTTAGCTTCTAAGTCACAGTTTATTTGATTATTTTTTGGTATTAGTTTTTACGTTTGCTCTGTAAAATTGGTGATATCTGTCAAATAATGTGATTTACTGCCTCTGTTTTCTTATTCTCTCCAATGATTTGATTTGGTTTATTACCTCTGTTTTCTTATTCTCTCAAATGATTTTATTTGATTTATTTTCTCTGTTTTCTCTATTCCAATTTTTTTGTGTCAATTGGATGATATTATGCTCTCTGGATACGTCAAGTCTTTCCGTACCACTGACGACTTCTTTTTTTTTGGGTCGTTTTACTGATAGCCTGTTAAAGCCCAGTATCGTGGTTCTCTGTATGTGTCTTGTAAGTGTCTTGTATGTGTCTTGTACTTCTCTGTTGGCTTTAGTAATGGATTTTTTCATCTTTTTGCAGATTTCAGCTACAATATTTTAAATTTCTTCCTTGGTCTTCCCCTCGCCTTCCTCCCAAATATTCTGCCGTTAAAAAAAGAGTATCATATGCAGTATCACTGACAATAATCCAAGCATGTGTGCAACCGAATCTCAATGCTGACACAATATGTGTGAACATCCCACCCTTCACCACACCTCTGCAGACAGTCTCTGCCATAAATTGCCTTCATCCGTTTCACCAAGTGTCTGCTGCACACATACAAGTGATTCTGATACTCCAGCTATGATGTTCCGGTTGAGATGCATTGCTTGCATGCTCCATATGTGGTCTATCTATTCACTGTAACGTGCGCACAGGAGTGTGCCCTAAACATACAATACCTCTCTAGAATTTGGAGAGAACGATAACAGAGAACGCGACAGGTATTCTCATCATTTTTTCTTTAAATCGCCGTCTAATGGGTAGGGGACCTTGGTTCTTGGTCACCAGAGCGTACCTTCCATAAATTAACAATAATAAGCAAGTGGGTTTGGCCTTCTGTGATAAGCGGGTCAAGGAATTTTTTCACGATGAAGACTCCATGCACACAGATAGGGGAAAAGGGGAAAGGGGGGGGGGGGTAGATATTTGGTATTTCCTGCTTGTATCTCCTCCACTAATTTGTTTCCTGCGGTCCCTTCAGGGTATGCGAGCTGAAGCTCTGAAGAGCAGAGATTCAAAGAACCACATTTGCAACCATCATCATCATTATCGTCGTCGTCATCATAACAATCGTTATCATTCATATTGTGGAGGTCGGAGCTGACAAAGCTCAGTTTCAATTTGGTGTCTCAACATGCAGGCGTGCAAGGAAACGAGCAAGCTGATAGGTTTGAAGGTAAAGCTGCTGTAAAAGGCGAACGAGCCATGGGCCATGCTGATATTTTGAATGTTCGACGAGAATTAAGAGTTTGCGAGAACAAAGGGACCGTGAACCTGCAACCATCACCGCACTGCAAGAATAACAAATAAAAAGGGGTGGTGCCAGACAAGAAAACTGCACAGGAGGCCAAAGAAGAAAAAAAAGGAAACACAAAACTGGTGTCGGCACCCACTAACCGTGCGGGATCTACGGAGAAGAGGATAGGAGCAATTATGGTCTGAACAGTTCAATTAGGATAATCTGTCGACTAACTAACTTTTCACGATATGCCGTTATACGTCATATAGTAAAAGTAAAGGATCATTATTTAGGCCTTCAGGCACACGCTCGATGATGTGTTCAACATCACGCCTGTCACCTTTACTTCCCAGCACTTTACCTAGTACCCACTCAAGGCTAGGTCGACCTGGGAGCCAAGGTAACTTTTCTTATAAACATTTGTTTTACGGTTTTATTTCAACCTCCTCGCCTCTTTATCTGTTCGTTTACATTTCATTGCCTGTCTCTTTATTCTCTCATCAAATCTCACTAGGATGGTCCTAATATATCGTCATCTCCTCTATCTTACACTGTCTCCCAATATATCGTCATCCTCTTTGACTTACACTGTCCACTAATATATCGTCATCTCCTCTGTCTTATACTGTCGCCTAATATATCGTCATCCTCTTTGACTTACATTGACCCCCAATGTATCGTCATCTCCTTCGACTTACACTGACGCCCAATGTATCGTCATCTCCTTCGACTTACACTGTCCCCTAATGTATCGACGATACAAAGCCAATTGTAAATAAACTAATCAGAGATAACCACTTTCTTCTTTCGTATTGTTTCGTCTCAGTGCCTATGCCGTAAAGCTTCCCAGAAAAGAGTTAGATATAGTTTCCCTCCTTTTGCTAGTTGCGTACCTTGTGTTAATGTCATATTGTGTTTCTGTAGTGTCTCTGTTACTGCCTCATCCCACATCTTTCTTGGTCGGCCTTTTGCCTTGTAGCCTGCTGTTCTCGTGTAGTACACTCTAGCTATTAGCTGATTTTGTTCCATTCTGACAAGATGACCAAACCATTTGATTCTTTGATGTTCAGTGAAATAATTTTCTGGTACTGTACCTGCCATTCTTCATAATTCTTTATTTGTGATATGTTTTCTTTTTACTTCGCCGTATTGTTTTATAATCTCATCTCATCATCATGTGCCCTGCCAGCTAGTAGAGGCGCTCATGCGTCTTCACAGATCACGATCCCTGGTTGACTGGAATAGCTCTCTTGATGATATCCCTCTATGCCATCGCTTTAGCCCATCCAACATTATCTCTCTTGGTCTGCCTCTACCCCTTTTCCCACTGATATTTCCAGTTGTCACGATGTAAGCCAACGTCTCTCTTCTCATGATGTGGCCGAAGAACAGGGTTTGTCTCTTTCTTATTGTTGTATATAGAGATCTACTTTCATTAGCCTCTTTCAAGCAATCGTTGTTAGTTACTCTGCCAATTCGTCTCATATCGCGTGTTACAATTTTGCTTTTCTAAAGGACTGTCCTTGCCTGCCTTTGCTAGATCGAAATTGGTCAAATCATATAACTAATTTATATGACGTGTACTTGAAACAGCAGTTCTCAACATATTGGTCGTGACCTCTTTAAGGGTCGAACGACTCTTTCCCAGGGGTAGCATAAGACCATCGGAAATCATATGCACTGAAGTTAGTTAGTTAGTCAGTCAGTCAGTCAGTCAGTCAGTCAGTCAGTCAGTCAGTCAGTCAGTCAGTCAGTCAGTCAGTCAGTCAGTCAGTCAGTCAGTTAGTTAGTTAAGTCAAGAATTGACATAACAGCACTCGGGGCATTTCCATGCCTGCTCCGTTCTCATCTTCAGCAACCAGCGTAGAGTTACAATACTGATGGTACCGGTCACAATCTAGTTAAAGGTCCATCCTACCTTTCCTCTGAGTGTAGTTAGCCGGCCAAACCCTCTGGTTACACTCAGATGCCTCATTCTCTCCAGGCCATTATAATCTAGTTTCTCTACTGTTTTCCTTACTTGTTCCCAAAGGGCCTTGACAATATCTGCTCTGTCATGCATCAGTTCACCACCCAGTGGTGCAGATCCAGCCAATCTGTCTGCCTGTTCATTACCCACCACGCCGGCATACCCAGGAGAAAAGATCAAAAGTATGCTAACTACCTGTGATAATTCCAGTAAAGCTTGCCACTCTGCTCGAAGCATCCCTGTCTTCACCTTTCTCAGCATACTTTCAGAGTCTGTTACAATTACGACAGGTGTATGCATTTTGTCCTCTAGCCACCGCAGAGCTGCAGTAACCGCCTCCACCTCCATTCTCATGCTAGACGTTGTGGTGTCGTATGCTAGGCAGTCTTGCACTAAAGATTTTCCATTGGCTTTCGCTACGAACCCCCACGCACTTTTCTTTCCTCCTACCACCGAACTATCTGTATAGATAATCAGATCGCCTGGGCGTAAATTGTCGTGAATCAACTGTTGGACTTCATCCTCCGTAGCACCCGCTACTAAAGTTATGAAGTAGCAACGAATTTTATGGTTGGGAGTCATCACAACATGAGGAACTCTATTAGAGGGTCGCGGTATTAGAAAGTTTGAGAATCACTGCCTTATACGAACAATATGTTTACAAAAGTACTTACAGTTTCTGGACAGCCGTTGACCGCGTCGACTTCTCGGATCCTGAACTTGAATACTGTCGCATCAGAGACCCTCCCCCAGCTGGGGATTTCTTCTTCTTCGGCTTCTCGTTTTTCCCGTCCACACATCCACTTGTAACGTTTTCCTTTGAAGCCTAAAATTAAACATGTAAAGAAAATATATGGTGTTCTATAGGTTCTTTCACAGTCTTCTTCTTTTTCTTCTCTTTCACCTTGTACCGCAGTGAAGTGTCGAGTGGAGATGTGTAACGTTCGCTGATGAGCTCTTTAGAGAGCAGTATTTGGATTGATGTTCATTTCTGTAAGGCTGTTCTTAATGCCATCACTCCATATTTTCCGAGGTCTTCCGCTCGCTCTATCCCCGTTGTAACGTTTTAGTGTGGCTCCCTACACAGTGACAGTTTTTAAATAACTGCGTACCGCACTTTGAGGGAGTCGCTGTGGCGTAGGGGCTAGACGCTGGCCTGCGGATCTGATTGTAGTGGTGGGTTCAAGTACTGGACGGAGCTGTACGCTTTCCTTTTTCTTTTCAAAACGACCTTGGCCCCCAGGTCGACCCAGCCTTAAGTAGGTACCAGAGCCCGGCTCTCTAGCGTAGTTGGCTAAACCGGATTGCGCGGTGACCGTATGACGAACTTCTTGTGGTCCGGGTTCACTCCCGGGGGTAGGCAGAAAAGCCACATTTTCTCCCAGATTTACGGTATTTACAATGGAATCAAGGCCAAAAGGTTGCGATATCCATAATTCAGAGCCTAAGGGTTAACAACTCATGGCTTCTGGATACTAAAACAAACAAACAAATAGGTACCAGGCACAGTTGTCAGTATTAAAGGCGAGCGGCGTGATGTTGACCACATCACCCACCGAATGCCGATTGGTCTATAGAATATACGTCTAGCCCTATATGCCCAGTTTGCCTGAAGGCGTGGAAAAGGGTCCTTTACCTTTTAACTTTCTGCGTCTTCTGCGTTACAAAACTTCAGGGTACATATCATGAATCACTTAATTACGTCTGGCGCGAGATCTCATGCCGGCTCCCATTCATGCTGTTGTGGTTCCCACGGGCTGTCCTATGTTGTAGGCGTGTTAGGATATGCGTTTCTTCAGCTTCACCATCTATACACAGCGTGCAGAAAGCGGCTCTCGTACGTTCAAGGCCTGACACGAAAGTGTGGAGCTCTCTTTCGTGGCAGGCGACATTGAGCGACTGTTTGTGTGTGCGTCTGTGTGTGTGTGTGTGTGTGTGCGCGCGCACGTGCGCAAGTGTTCAGTTAGTTTTGGTTTTCTCTGTGAACTAAGCCTCTTGTGCAACTGTCGCTGGTTTGAGAACTGGTGATATGTTGTGTCCTGTCCTGGCGAACGTCAAGTCACCAAGTAACTCCGCAGTGATAGCGATGAAGAGCAAACGCAAAACGCAAGAGGCACACGCACACAGTGCCAGCCGCTCACAACGCGGAATATAGAATGCTTATAGCGTTCAAACAAAACAAGCATGACCCCCCTCCACCCCCCCCCCCCTTAAAACAAAGCAGACAGCCGGTGGGAAATCTCGCGCCCGACGTGATGGGGCGATTTTCCTGATATGTACCAGTCAGTTACTGCGAAGGGATTTATGGAACACCCTAACAATCCTTTCCTCAATATGTATGCATTACTGCAGTCAAGATGATAGCAAGAAGCAACTAACACAAAGCGACGGATCGATCCGTTTGTCCTCTGTATAATGCCATCTAAATGTTTACCATACCATTTTGAAATGAACAAATCCCAATCTCTGTGGCAGATTAACAAAGTAGATCCCTGATGCCCCATTCAACCTCCAAAGAAGTTATAAGTAGGGCATCCTAACAGCTTCACCAGTCAGGTGTAACCTGTAGTCCTTTGCGGGTAAGGACAAATAAACACAAAGATAACTATGACTAGAAAGCTCAACGCTCTTGAATATTACGTTTCGTAATAGTTCTTCATCAGAAAGAGACAATCTGCATTCTTTGGTCATGTGATGAGAAGGAGAAAACTGGCGTAGATCGTGACAGTAGGAAAGTTTAAGGGGAGGAGAGGCAGAGGCAGTCTAGAAAAAAATGCTGGATCGGTTGGCATCATGGCACGGAGGATCATATGTGTCAGAGTTGACTGAAAGTACATGAGACAGAAGGTTGTGGATATACATGACTACCAACGCCACAGGGCATGGACTTTAAGAAGTAGAATAGCTTTTCGCGTCTATAATTTCGTATATTACGCATTTCCGGTTCCACATTGACCATCGGTTTTTCGATTATTCCACTGCGTTTTGCGTTGATGAAGACCGACTAAAACGCTGAGTTGTATTTGTGTGAATAGTTTTATTTATTTCCATTGAGCTTTTAGTCATAGTTTTTGTGTGTATTCACCTCTCATTGTCTCTCACTGAGTAACCTATTCACCCGCAAAGATACAGATTTCCTAAAATCTATCTAGTTCTTTCGGAAGCACCGCTTTAGTGAATCTGGCACCATCTATTATGATTGTTTGTATTTTACTATGGGTCGACAGAAAAATAAAGCTTTAGTGTAAAAAGTATAAGCTACCCCAGTTATAAATTACAAGTTCACCTTTAAAACTGTCGTAAATCGTGTGACGCTAAGACAGCAACATATGAATTAATCAAGTAACAGAAAGTGTATTGATCGGTACTCATAGAAAGAAGTAGAAAGATAGAAGAACACACTAGACAACATAAAAATCGAAAGTTATAGTTACCGTGCCGAGAATTGGACATGTCACCCCCAGACGGCGGTGCGCCCCGCCATGAATACAAGTGCACTAAGAAAATGGTCAACTAGGCACCCCCAAAAAAGGTGTTTTATTGGCCATGTCTATCGTACAGCTTGAAATCCACAACTATAGAATGCGGACAGAATTCATTTCAAACCATTTAAATGGCACCATATGTTACATAAATTTATATTAACGAAGCATGTGTCGAATAACAATCACAGCAACAATTTACGAACACAGGTGACCTTAATGCTTTGTCTAGAATACACAGACATTTAAGAAAGGTATTTGATTTGTAGGTTCCGGTGTGTATACGTCATTCCTATAAACAAACAGAGGGAGAAACATTTGAGGCCGATAAATATTATGAATTAATCAAGTAACAGAAAGTGTATTGATCGGCACTCATAGAAAGAAGACAGCAACATAGGAGGGTGTTTTAAGTGACCGATCTGCATGGTGTGCAGTCTCCAAGCACAGGACTTCAGCCTTCCAGGCAATAGATGTTGCACTGGCAGAGAAACGGAAGCAGACTAGAAAGAACTATCTGGCAAACACATCTCTGCTTCGTTCCATCTGTTGTCCACACCGCTCAAGAACTTTCCAGGCTGAGATAGCCGCGGCAATAATCAAGAAAAGTAGGCTAACAATGTGACATTGAAGAAGGCATGTAGATACTTAATGTCAAACTTTGAGTTGTCTTCCCTTGCCACTGTCGAAGACAGTTTATTTCTTGTATGAGAACCACTGCGTTAACGCATTGTTAGCCCGACCCGGCGACGTCAGCAGCATGGCCCGTCAGCTTGAGCCGGACATGGTTAAACGTATATTTTTCTATACTAGCCTCCCCAGGGGGCCCCATGTTAGAAAGGGGGAGGAATAAAACCACTGCTCCTCTAACGAGCATGTTCCAAGAAGCAGCGACTAATTAGGGATGTTTCCTTTTAAAGTCGGATTGCATAAGCTTGAGAAATGTGGAACCAGCAGTCTGCATGCAGATAAGTCAGATCTATAAAACGTATGCGAGTTGTGGAAATAGACGAACGCCCAGAAGTGGATGAACAATCACGTAAGAGTATACAGCAAGTGAATCTCTTCTTCTTCTGCCTTTCTATTCCCCAATGGAGCATAGGCCCTTAACCAACTCACGCCAAGTCGTTCTATCCTTCGCCATTACATGGAGCTCTCCCCATGTCCTCCCCATCTTTCTAACTTCATTCTCCAATTCTCTTCCCCATGAGTTTTTTGGCCTTTCTTTATGCCAATGCCCCTGTAGGTTCTAATGCAAAAACAGTTTTCTCAGTGTATGTCCTATCCAACGCCAGCGTCTTTTCCTCACCTCTTGGTCCACTGGAGCCTGCTTAGTTCTCTCCCAAAGTTCTACATTAGTGATTCTATCATACCATTTAATTCCCTCTATTCTGCGCAGGCACCAGTTAATGAATGTCTGTAATTTATTAGTATTTGCCTTAGTTGTTCTCTATTTCCGCCCCATACAAAAGTACTGATTTGACATAAGAATTAAAAAATTTTAGTTTAGTATTTCTTTTAATTACTTTTGATCTCCAAAAGTGGATGAATAATCAGAACTTGCCACCAAAGAATTTACATCAGGTGAATGCTATGAAGAAAAACAGAGAGGAAGAAATTTATTTTTAGACTATTATTACCTAGTGAGTTGACTCTGTGGCTAAGTCGATGCGAACGCTTCGTAATGCCAGGATGCCGGGTTCGATCCCAGATGCGGGCCATGCGCCTTGCGTTGGTTCCGACAGTGGTATCAAGAAAGACGACCGTTCCGGGCAATGGCAAACTACTGGACCTAAATTTTCCTAGAAAAACCACACAAGAGCCAGGGGCTGTTGGGGTTGATTCTGCAACGTCCTGTAAAGGATACGCAACTAACCTTATTAACTCGGCAAGAACTGTACAAGAACATCATTTTGTCAGTTCTTCTTTATGGACAAAATGCAAAATCCAAAAAGGATCCACACAAGACATCCACCTTAATGATAAAAAAGGACGAACATAAGATATCTACCTTATTGACCAAAAAGGGTGCACACAAGATATCCACCTTAATGACCAAAAAGGGTGCACACAAGACACCCACCTTAATGACCAAAAAGGGTGCACACAATATATTCACCTTAATGACCAAAAAGGGTGCACACAAGATATCCACCTTACTGACCAAAAAGGGTGCACATAAGATATCCACCTAAGTGACCAAAAAGGGTACACACAAGATATCCACCTTAATGACCAAAAAGGATGCACACAAGATATTCACCTTAATGACCAAAAAGGGTGGACACAAGATATCCACCTTAATTACAAAAAAGGGTGCACACAAGATATTCACCTCAATGAC